ATAGTGTGTGATACTTTAAATTAGGACCCATGGCACAAATTAACTCAAACATGAGCTCAATAAAATGTTCCATCTAATAAAAACGGCACAGGCAGAATTGGGTGCTTTTGATTGGGATCCTGCAGGACCCAAATACACTGATATTATTAAAAAGTACAAATTAAAACAAAAAACAATTAAATAAAGTCTACGCGAACACCCTGAGTGGAATATTAGAATAAAGCACCTGTTGAATAGGCCAAAGAGTATACTCTCTGGGGTCTGCAGGTACCCCAGTCACTAGGATGAGGGTTTAACTAATGCAGGAGCTGCTGCTGTCTACCCAACATGCAAACTCCAGTCAAAAGGTTAGTTCGGCTTTGCCTTCACCCACTTGTTTTCTGTCTTGAATTCTGGGAAACTGAGGACTGCACCGAGGCAGACCCATTTGGACCGTAGTTCTAAAGGAAAAAACAGGCATGAAATACATTTTAAACTTCTCTTTATGTCCAACAATCATGACATATTTGCAGGGTACCCACAAATTTAGCACACAAATAAATTAGAAACAAAACGTTATATAGAAATGATCAAACATAAGGAAGCCTGAGCAACACATCAGTGCAGTAATTCTTTACAGGCAACAAATGATAGACTATAAACTATAACAGGTTATCTATCTGTGTTCATTATACATGAGTCAAGACAGACAGCAACCAGCTACAGTACGTCATTAATAAAAAAAACACATTTAACCAAAATAATTCGATTTATGTCACACTAAAATGTGGGTACATCCTGATCAGCTGTGATCCAGGACTGAAGTCTTGATGTTTCACTGGCCTCCAGGCGGCCCGCTAATGATCTGATGATTTGAAATGATGGTCATCGATGGTGGTGAACACATGACCTTCATTTACCAGAAACGCTAAGGAATCTCTGCACACACAAAAAAAAAACCAATATAGATAAATAATAAGTATATAGTATATGGAGTGATAGGCTACTAGCAATATCCAATCCATCATCACTGAACATATGCTAAAATATTAGTATGGACTGGGCCTGTATAGTGGCTGCATCCACAGATTACATATAGTACAGTAGGTATAGTGAGGTTAGGACTGAAGTACCTGATGTCTCTTATACTCAGGTGGTCCAGCTGTATCTTCAGGTCACGTAAACTGATGCCAACACCGACAGAGAACCTCCTGATTACATGCAACACCTCACACAGGAATCATGAAATTAACTTCCAACCCTGTTCTGCCGTCACATAGCATTTCCCAGAGACAGGTTCAGTTTAGATTTTCAGTCAGCACCATGGCTACCTCACTGTGGACGGTCTTCATCGTGAATTATTTTCTGCTGTTGAGTCTTCCAAATGCAGTAATTATTTTGCAAAAAACACTTTATAGTTATTTGTAGATTTATATTCATTTGTAAATATTGTATAATATAATTTGATAGTACAGTAAGCTCCACAAAAGGAATATCCATTCCCCCCACTGTACTGTGAGTAACTGAACAATTCTTTCTCATGCTTGCAGCAATGAGCTGCTGTACTTCAGTTTTTCATTTTAACATGAAAATGATCTCCAACAACAAATGTTCTTTGTTTCAGCAAGGTTTCTGCAGCTTTCAACATCTCAAATTTAAGACCCTTTTAAAAGACCATTATGAATGCAATTTTTACATCCATACTGGCAAAAGATGTACAAAGGATATGAAGGAAGTTCAGTATTGGTTCCATTTTTTTAACCAGGTTTTGTTTTGTAGTTGTTGTGTGATCAACATTTTTTTCCCCCAAAACACTAGACTGAAAAATTTAACTTTATATAGGTAACATTAACTTCATTATCCAATCAATTAGACCTGACCTAATTTAAGACCTGTCAAAATCCTATTTAATGACATTTTAAGGCCTATTATTCAGATTATTGGATATTAATTGTTTTTATATTCTTTTGTCAAGAGGAATGCTGTGTCTTTTACTGCTAAACAAATCTACCTGTGGGTACAAATAAAGTAACATTAAGCAATTATAACTCAAACTCTCTAACCTTCAGATTTAATAACAAGTTGGTAGTTTAGTGGTGGCCATGCAACTGTGGTGTAGTTAGTATGTTAGCTTTTTACTCCTTTTGCCTAAATATTGCTGCTGGAAAGTATGAAAACAAGTCTGCTTTGGGTGAAGTGACCCTTTAAACCCACGAACCTGACCCTGGATGGTGGAAAGACCGTTTGGTAAGACGCCTTCAGGATGCCCACCACCACCACCACCGTGACTGAGGACTCTTCCAGACTGCGGGACAGTAGTGGGATTCATATTCACATCAAATGCCTGGAAAAACAATAACACACCATTTACAAAATATTACAAGCTTACAGTAGGAACATTCTGCACCTAAAGTGATTCAAACTCAAGCATGAAGGACATTAACATGTCAAATTCTGAGTTTCAGTGGAGAATGTCTGCATCTCGCAGTCTGCAGTACAAATCTGCAGTTAAATCACAGAATAATTTGTGCTCCTGTACCTTTCCAAAAAGCTGCATATGGGCTTGTACCACTTCCAACATGTGGGATGTGATTTCATTCAGGTCCTTGATGCAACGGATATCCATTGCCAGCAGTGACCTTTGACCCTAAGGTAACATAAAGGATTGAGTCTTATATAGTATATTGTCACAAAAATCAGCTACAATGCTCATCATCTCTAAACTCTGTTTTACTTACATTGAAACTGCGTAGACTTCCAGTAACCTTCACATATGTTCCAGGGGAAAGCAATGTCTGAGCGCAGTCCTGTGGGAAACAGAAATTTGACACTGACTATTCACGGGTATATCGCAGTTTGCAGCGTTCATTTGTTTTCTCAAATTCTCTTGTAGTTGTGGACAGAGCCTGTTGATGCTACTGGCCTGTGTGTCAACCCACTGCCTCACACTTAAAGGCGGACCAGTCATGTCATCCACAGAGTACTGGACGTTCGTCACAAAGGGCGCAAATCCTCTGATGATGCCCACTAAAGACACCTGCAGTGAGAGGAAGCACAAGCAAAGAAAACTCAGCACAAGTTAAAAAGACATTAAAATTCCATTGAAGAACTTGGCAATGTATGTGTTGTGCAAATAAACAAGGCAGCTTTCAACTGCCAGGTTTTTTTTTAAATGGAGTTTAAAAATCTGGACATTTTCACATTCACTATATACACTCTAGAGAGAGTTGCACAGGATCTACCCAAGTCACATTCAAGTCCTAAACTTTGTGTTTCGAGTCCTAATCAAGTCATTATTTGAGTTCATTTCTGACATTTGAAACAGCTCATAGCTCTCGTATCGCCTGAAGATCCTTTTAGCGGGTGCTGTAGAGCTTTCAGTCATATCACATGATCTTCAGCAGATGATGGACTATTTGTACACACATTTCCTCCTGTTTGCACAACATGATTGGCTTCTATCAGATTGATTTTAACTCTGTTTGTTGACAAGAAAATGAAGAGTTGGAAAAAAAAGAGCTTTGGGTCAGTCCATCACTTTGGTCCTCATTTAAATATCTCAACAACTATTATTCAGTAAAATGGTGTGACATCTAGGCCTAGTAGTTCAGTGGTTCTCAACTAGGGGTCCTTAACCAGGTTCCAAGGGGGTCCCCAGAAAAATGAAGGCTATATTAATTTCACTATTATTCCATGGACTACCAATGAGAGTCCAATAAGAATGAATCAGAATGACTATTCTGTTCATAGGTTTCACTCTCTTCACTTTTAATCCACATTATAGACATCATCTTATCAGATACAGGTCTGGCTGCCTTATGTTTATCAGTTTGGGGGTCCTTGACACCACTGGACTGCATGAACTAACACATTGTGTACAGACAGGTGTGATTCCTAGAGGAAGTACTTCTGACTTTTCATCAAACGTCGACCTCATGGTGGTTTTTAGTGAAACATCTGGACAATTATTTGATGGACTGCCATGGAATTTGTGACATGATTTCAAAAATGTAATCTGGCCTTTAAGATTATTTTAAATAATTTTTCCTAGTTGTTTCATATCAGTTTAAACAATATTCCTGAATATGCCTTCATGTTACTGAGTCCAGGCTGAGGACCGAAGGTGACCATGCTTTAATGTATTCTATCACGCTGTCTAACATTTTATTAGTATTATTGTTCTTATCATAAATTAGCTAGGTATGGTATTATGGTGTTTAATTTCTATGTTTTTAATGATGGTGAAAATGGTAAACACATTGTCATCACAATAATCATGATCACAGGCATGGCTGTTGACTGATCTTTGGGAGGATACCAAGTTAAGATAAAAGTCATTGGTGGTTAAGTTGACTTGCAAGACTCTTTAAAAATGTTGTCAGGTGTACTGTCAGCACATTCCTGACATTAGTCTATACCTCAGGTGCATGACTACACAGTGATATACAGTCGTGTAGAATTGCTACTCGTACCTGGTTCAGTTCCCAGTGGCACATGGTGAAGGTATCGTTGCTGACTTGAGAAGCAGACAGTAGCTGAGACACTGTGCAGGGCAAAATCTGAAGAGTTGCCCTCTGTGGAGAGATCAGGGTGAAGGACTCCATTACAGTCACACATTTTCTTCAGATGCTTCCATTGCATTTATCAACAGAAGATAAACGCACCTTTGATATCCCTGCTTTGTGGCAGGTCATCCCACCAGGGGACTGACTACAAGCTGTGTAGAAGCAAAATATGCAAACCGCATTAAGACATAAAAGGAATCCCAAGCTCTTTTTTTGTAATGCTGACTTACCTTGGTTCCACATGACAAAATATGTTCAAATTGAACTGTCACGTGGGCAGCTACATGTATTCTTCAGTAATGTAGGACCAAAAACTACCTTCACTGGCAGCTTCTTCAAGTCCAGGCAGTCAGGTGAATTGAATTACAGCAATTACCCATGTTGCATTGCAGGACCAAAGACAAAACTCTCAGTTGTAAAGCCATTAGCATGCTTCATTTCTTTAAAACAATTCAGTTAATATTTCAATTCATTTTATTAAAAAACCATCAATTCAACAGTGATTGACAGGTGTTCACACAACTTTTGATAAACTTCATTTAATCTCTTCAAAATGACATAAGAGCAAAAAATTGTTCATACAAAAGTGTGAGAGCAAAAGTTTGCCTGGCTGCGAGTGCGGATCTTTTATTTGACATGATTCCCAGTGTGTTCTTCATCTGACACAGGACATTTTTTTTATGTTAAGTGTAACCCTGATCCAGGACTTATTAGGTATCACAGTCCTACATCAGTATCTCCTGGAACTTAGAGATTTCTGCCCATCAAGGTTAGAAGAAGCAATCAGTGGCATTCTTTGTTCTGAACCTGCCTAATGTTCTTTTTGTCCATCTGGTCGCTGAAAATATTTCTGATGAGTTCTTATTTTAAACATTCTTCCTATAACAATTTCTACGAGTCACTCAGTGATTTTCCTGCAAAATTAGCTGTGGTTCTTCAACCGGTTCTGTTCAAGATTCTGGGTGCCATCTAGCCAACCAGTCCACATTTCCACCAGTTTTCAGAACCATTTTCATCAAGAATGCGTCATCAACAGAATGTTTAATGTCATCAACTCAAATGTCTGAGTTCTGGGAGATAGCAAAGCAGTACGGTGGTACACTGTATGAAGGTCCTGGATCAGGGCTGGTAAAGTCGAGGTCTGACTGATGTCCCAGAGTTCCAAAGAACTGTTCCACTTCCAAATAGCCCGGTACCTGACAGAAAAGACGACTGGATTTGACCCACGTTGTATACCAGCTTTGCTTACACAAAATCACAAACAGGCCAATGAAAAACATACAATTATCACTAGCACACCGACAGTATTGACCTGTAAATATATCACATCTTTTCCATGATCGAAGTGAACTGAAGCTGAATGAAGAGCTGAAGTAAAGTTGAATCCATCACAGCAATTTACATGTCAAACAATTCTGGCTCTTGAAAACAGAGCACATCCAGTCAAATGTACATCAACCTTGTTCGTCCCCTGTTGATCCTATACAGTATTTACACATGTGCAAAGGAATTTAATACGACAAATCAAAGGGTGAAATCTCTTAATACCCCAGACGTAGCATTTGTTTGGCAAACGTCTCAAACCTCACAGGAAGCCAAATGTCTTCCTCCTCCCCCCTCTCATGTCTAGAAGGCCTGAAGGAAGAAATCTGGCCGGAAATGACTCTACCCATCATCCTCTGCTCTGCTTGGAGCTCTGAGGATATGGGTGACCTACTTTTGAGTCCAAACTTTGATGCTCGTGAACAAAAAGCCACAAATACAACATTCTTGAAGCGAAGCAACATTGTCCAAAGCAGCGTCGATGTCCTGCAGTACAGACAGCCGTTTTTTAATACTGATTGGTGGGATTGCTTTTCATACCAAAGCACCACACCGAGTCGGTGAACCGTGGAGCAACTCAAGCACGTCTGCCAATTCTTGTGTTTGAGTGCAATATCACTGAAGCCACAATAGTGTCAAAAAGAAAAATCAACCAATTTCAACAAAATTAGGCAAATCTCAATACTCCCTATCCTAATCCCATCTTGACAGGAAATAAAACTATTAGAGCTGAGGGAAGAATTAAAGGCCATATAGCAGGTAAATATTGGCAACAAGTCAAAAGGAAATTAGATTTTCCGCCAGAGTTTTGAGAGCAGCGAAGAAGCCAGGACTGTTTGGTTTTATAGGTTCCTGTAAAAGTGCACAAATTATGTATGACCTGAAAGGCAAAAGGGGTCCCGAGCATGATCCTCTGCCAAGTGCTGCAACAACTTAATAGGCTTAGAATTAGCCTGTCGGAAGCATGAAGAAGGGGATTACTGTAAGATCCAGAGCCAAAGGAAAGGAGCAGCAGTGACACAGTGAGAGGAGATCAAGTTAAACACAACAGTATTATGTATTTTTATTTTTTTTTTAAAGCAGAGATCCTCTGGCTCATGGAGGATTGCGTGTGTTGGTGTCTTCTCTTGCTTCTTCCCTGAAGGTGAGAGACACTGCATGCATAAGTAGACTGCTGGCTGACATTGTGCTCGCCCGGTAAACAAATACCGAAGCAGTTATCGCACTGAATCCAGCCTCACAGAGCTCCCCTATATAATGCAGTAGGTCCTTATGAGGAATAAATATAAACAGAAAAATAAAAGTGCCTTTCAGTGAGATTCACTGAATCCCCTCACCCCTTTTACTCATTCAGGTCTCTTGTCTAAATGGACCCAGATGTGAATATTCATGTCACCGCTCTTGTAAAACACGCGGCTCACCCTTCAGATAATTAAATCTACATTTAGGCAACATGGGGATTTCTCTCAAGAGAAGATTTGTTTGCCATGTGTGGGGGAGTCGCTCCACAAGTCTTTTGAACGTAGGCCTGCCTGCTTTATTGTAGTGTGCTCAGTTGTTTGAATTTTCTTGTTCAAGGACAACTCTGGTTCGTTACAACTTGGGTTTTATTTTCACAGTTTGGGATAATATTTCCTTTGCCACAGTGACGTCAAATGGGGCAAGAAACACCAAGCCATATGGTTTATCCAGATGATCTAAAGCACTTTATTTGGAGGTGAAACTGAAAGGGGGGGCACCTGACATATTGGTAATAACCCCTCATTGCAGAGAACAACTGAGTGAGGACATCTAATTTTGGTAGTTCAAAGTTGAACCAGGAATTCAGTCTATAAACTGAGCTGGACGTGTACAACGGTTGCTGTACACTGCTGTTTTCTCCTCCACCTACTACACAGTAGTAACTAAGCATTATGTTATTTCTAAGGCCAGTTAGCATCTAATAACTTTTTCATTTTCACAGGGATAAGAATACATGGACAGATGCCATGTTTCTCAGCATTTATAAGCTAATTAATGCTATTAGCACATTACATTTTCATGTGGCCCTGCTCAGGCACATTCACTGTGGCAGCCAGCGTAGCATCGCTCACACACGCTCCAGTATCAGAGTTTGAGGTTACACTAACGGCTGTGCCGTTCTATTCGTTTGATTTGTACTTGCAGTAAACCATAAATTCAACCTTTGTGTTTAAGTTACATTTTATGTACACAATACAACAGCTTGTGTTTTAAAGGTGGTATGAGTGAAATCTTCATTTTGGCTAACTTCCTGCCTGTCAGCAGTCCCCTCCGTCCTCCCTTCGTCACCACACTGACACTTATTTCACCAAAAATAATATCATTTACTGCACCTTTCTTTTGATTCCTCTCTCAATTAATCGTTGGGTCCACAAAATGTCAAAAATGGTCAAAAATTCTGTCAACTGTTTCATAAATTACCACAAATCTCGAGAGGTAAATCTGCCCCATTTGTCACTGTAACCTGCATAAAGCCATGCTGGAAAGCTTGACAGGCATAGCAACAGTAGCTAAGGTCGATCAACTTGGTGAGTACAATGTTATTATGACCAAATCCATGAAAGTAAGACCCGAGTTGCAAAACCATAAACCAGAATTATCCTTTAGGCTCTCTTGCTCATTATGCTGTGTCATTAAAATGAAGTGTTTGTGTGTTTAAGGTTGACCTGTCTTGATCGTTATACATTCTGTCATACTGGTTGGTATGGGACCAGTCAATTTATCGTAAAGTCAGTAATGGGCAGAAAGAGGAAAGACCAACCACAAGGACTTGCTGGCTGGACACTTACTGATAAAATGTCCCCCACCCACACAACCAACGAAGCAGCCTTCAGAAAAAAAAAAAAAAACGTTATCTTCAAGCACCAAAGTTTGGGATTTTTTCCCTCCAACACTACTGAGCAAAACTGACCTTGTCAGTAGATCGTTTGTCTGCAAATACCATCATGCTGTATGTTTTTATTACCTGAGCATTCAGGGCATGTCTGCATTTGATGCCAGAATCAAATCTTGATGTTATATCAAAGCTGGTGATCATGTACCAGAAATCAGTTTGTAAGTCAGGTTCTGTCGAAGCCAAAAGTGGCTTAAAAACATTCCACACATTGAGGTGACTGGCCCTTTGGATTAATGTACGCTGTAATGATCACAGGATAACGTCTCATATTGCATTTAGTAACAATTAGCACCGGGTCCAAGATGGTATTTGTAGATAAACTGTGCTGACTGTCACTTCGACTTTCACTTTTAATTGAATCCAGGACTTTTGGGGTCACTTTGCTCTTTCATCATGCTCGAGTGATTCTGTAAGGAGGAAGTGGAAGCTGTGATGTGATTAGCCTGAGACTAAGCTGCAGTTTCGGAGCAGCAGCAGCGGTGGGTGTCGCACCTCTCCCCTTCAATATAAAGACACAGCTAGTAGATGACTGTATGTGCTTGGACAGTGGATGAAGTTTAAGCCATGATACAAACAATGACTATTCTAATTATTGTTCCCTAGTTAAAAAAACAATAATCCCCTGTTATGTGACCACCTAGGTTAACAGTAGCTGATGAGATGTGCACATGTGCTTGATCAGCTGAGTCTGTGGTGCCGTTCATGTCCATCACGTGTCCCAGTCCAGCTCTCTGCAGGCGATACGGACCAGCCTGAGCTCCAGTTCAAAGGCGTCGGGCCTTTCCTGAGGGTTGGCTGACAGCATCTCCCTGATCAGCTGCTTCATGTGGCTGTTCATGCTCTTTTTCCTGGCGGGGATCAGCAGCTCCATCTTTGGGTTCTCTAGCAGGGCCTCACCTAAGGGTACAATCTCTGAGCCCTGCTGCACGTAGCTCCCCAGCAGCTCCTTCTGAGTCTCCACATCCACAAAGGTGATGCGCTCCACCATAGCCCAGATAATCACCCCCAGGGCGAAGATATCCGCCTTGGCGGTGTAGTGGCCCTCCCAGACCTCCGGGGCCATGTAGAAGTCTGTTCCGCAAGCTGTGGACAGGAAGCACTTGTTGACACTGGCCGGTTCTTCAGGGTTCAGGCCGGAGGTGGAGCAGACCTTGCTCAGGCCGAAGTCGGCCACTTTGAGGGTAGGCTCGGTCGAACCGGCCGGCGTGCAGGCCTGCGAGATGAGGATGTTGTCCGGTTTGAGGTCACGGTGTATGATCTGGTTGCGGTGCAGGAAGGCCAGGGCGCTGCCCAGCTGCAGCATGAAGCTGGTGTTGGTCTTGCGGCTGGGCTTGCGGGACAGAAGGTAGGCGTTCATGTCGCCCCCGTCGCAGAAGTCCGTGACGAACCACAAGTAGTAGGCACAGCACGGGTCGAATGTGATCTCACCTTTCAGAGACGTCTCCACCAGCTACAGTAGAAAGGAAAAGAAAAAAACAAGTCAACATGAGAACACTGTTGATGGCTGACGGTTAGTCAACTCTGCATGCTGCACAATATGGGATGTGCCGGCATCAGATTTTTTCTGCTAAGTTTATTGTGGCCAAAAATATCATGATCTTATTTATCCAGCCTTCCTGAGATACTTCTGTTAGAGCTGAAATATAAGAAATGTACCTGTTTGCCTTAGATATTAAAAACCTAACAAACAATGAAATGTAGCTACAACTTTGTTGGATTCTTTGAAAGAATAATAATGATAATAATAATAATAATGTGATCATGAGAATCAAATGCTGGTCATGCTCCTGGCATGGATATATAAAGAGACCTGGATATAGCATAGAAGGCAGCACTCTGTTAATTCCTATGAAAGCTGCTCAGTGGCACATGAAGCCAAAGAAGCCACTTCCCTCTGCAAAGAAATGCACTGCAAAGCCAGATGAATGCATACTGGATACAGAGACTTCAGCTTGACTGACCGCTAACTTCCGGTTTAGCGCTCTGCTAACTTAAACAGGGATACATAACTTTGTCTTGCGAATCTTCTAGACTTAAAAAATGTTATTAGACTGAATGGAACAAATTCTGACTTCTGGATCACCCTGAAAGGACTTTTGCTCCTTGCATCAAGCAAGCAGCACTTCTGTCTTTTGTGTCTCATTTAATCAGTCATACATAGAGTACTGTCCAACTTCTATCAGTGGACATGTTTACTGTGTTTGTGTGGAAAATGCCACGTAATGCATTGGTATCAACTGATATTGTCGAGAATACGCAACCTGGCTAGAGCTTGGTCTTCCGACTTGTCGCACTGGACCATTGTAATCTGTCTTTCTTCTGTCTCTGTTTGACCAGTAGAAAGGCACTCCATTATGGCAAAAAAAAATTAATGAAAAACTGCTGATGAAGACAGCAGCGCCGTGCTGTCTGAAAACTGGCACCCTCAGAGAAAGGCAGTAGTCAGGGTAAAAGAAATGCAACTATATTCACAAGTGTCACTAGCAAAGATCAAAGCTGAAGTGATCCTGCTAGCACATGAGGAAAAAAAAATCATCTCCACAGACAAAAGTAAGCCACTAAACAAGCTGTCTGACATCTGTACTTACAGGAGATAAAACAAAGCAAAGAATTACCTCAAACCCCAACAGACAAAGCTGCAACAAGCAGAACCAAAACGATTACATCACGTAGGTCTGGTCTAGCTTACACCATTGTTGATACAGTGGGTCACAGCTAGTGTGAGGAGAAAAGAATATCACTCATAACTAAACAAGCAAGGTTGCTCTGGCTTTGTATTCACAACACGTCGTCTCCCACCTCGCTCTGCGGGCCATTTTTTTAAAATCAAAAGCAGCACAAGAGGCCTCTCATCTTTTATGCCTGCTGCAGGAAGTGAGTTCATTTAATCTCCCTTTCTGACAGCGGACCACAAACCTGTGAGGTTTCATCCATCTCGCATTAAATTAAGATTAAATGGGATGCACTTCTGGGAGTTGATAGATGGTGTTTCGTATTAAACTCAGAAAAGCTACAGGTTTGTTGCAAGGCATTCTTGTTTTTATGGGGCATAAGACAACTTAAAAAAAAAAAAAAAGTAGGCCTATATCTCTGCATATCAGTAATTATTATCAGTAATAGTTCCTTTTTTTTTCAAAGTTTAGATATTATTTAAAATATTAAATTTATCAACAATCTCACAGAATAAGAGCACATGAAGACCTGAACACAAGCTATATTCATAGCCACTATACCCACGGATCCTGCAGTAGAAAGAAGTCTATTAAATATGTATGATTGTTTCTTTATTACTTAAAATACACGCGCATGCACGCACGCACAAATAAAAAGTTGCTAAAAATATCAGGAAAACTTATCTCTGATGTAATAATTACTGGAAATAATCTGCTCAAAATTTATCCAAAACCGCTAATTTCACCTAAACTTCCTGCAGTTATTGTGTTCACTATTATGTTCGGGTTCTGTACTGTTATTGTTCATTGAATATACTATGAAATATCCATAAAATATGTCATAGTCAGGGCTCATCAGTATCATGTCATCATGTAGTCTATATTCAGACAGCAGTACTGTTGCCCGGGCCTACAAATCCTGTTCTTGGGATATCAGAAAACTTGTTTGCTTCGTCCAGACCCAAACAATGATTTTAAAGTTTTTTTCAGTAGAAATAAAAATTGTGACTAATTGTGACTCTTACAGCAACTGCAATAACTGTCAGTCTGTCAACATTTCCTGAAGAAAACTTCAGTGCGCTTGCAGCAGAACATTTTCATTTGGAAATTTTGAAATAATGGAAAAGTTGAAGCGCCCAAGAAAATTGAAGTGTGTGGCCTGTAAATAGTGTAAGTGTCAGTTGATATGCAGGCGGCGAACAGCAGTTCAAATATCAGCTGAAGAACTGTCCACAGAAGAGTATAAATGATTTGCTTAAATGTTAGTTAAGGCTGGCTAAACCACAAATTAAGGCTTTTGATGTAAACTGCTTTACAGGAAACACAATTGCTCTGAATATGTTTAGTAGGCAATTCCTAGTGGAAGCCCTGCTGTAAACAAATGGCTGCAAATTGTCTGACATGCCACTAGCCAAAGAATCCACTACCCAAAAAGAATAGATGCAAATTATCCCACAGTTGGTGCGGTCAGATAATTCCGCCCTATTATCATTTGTTCTTCTGTAAGCACGTACTGGAACATTACAGAGCAATAAAAAAAGAGCTGGAATAAAGGGATTCTGGGAAAGTGTCCAATGCTAGCGCTGCAGAAAACGCAATGGATGGTCTGACAATAGCCTGCGTGCCGCTGAGAGACTATAATCAGGCACCGGCAGAGTGCCTGTGTGCCCGCCGTCAGACAGCGGGAGGCACTGCGACATGACAGGCTGCAGACAGGTTGACTGGGGAGGGGAGACCCCCCCCCCTCTCAACCTGACAACACGGTTCATGTGAATGTGGGAGCATTGGAGGCCAGAGACAACACAGATCCTACCAGAACCTTCCAGCTCTTCCGCTAACGCACATCAGCGTCGCACATAGAGAGATATACGCCAGGGCTCAACTGCTTCCTTTTTATTCCCAGAGCCAATATTTGTGCTGATATCCTATGTCTCCATAATTGTAATCATTACACTAACAACTATAATATGAGTTTACACAACAAATAGCTAGCTCGCGGCGGATGACTCACTTTGCGGTGCCTGAAAAATCACTGACCTTTATGTTCAACTTATTGGGTCTACATTGTGACAGAAAGATCTGACGAGTCGTCTTTGCCAGGAGCAATGCGACAGCAATATGTCAACAGTGGTCGGTAGTGGATGGAAAAATAAACATTCCTCTTATAATCTAGGATATGTCAGGGGACATCATGATACGCTTTGTAAATCAAAAACAGGCTTCCAATTCATTACAGAAATTATAGCGTTACAGTCTATTTTAGGACGCGGCAACATGTGGCCAACCAACAAGTGTTTTTCAAACGCCTGCTGAAATGTCAATTATAGCGGGTCCAGCTGGATTCCTCTCCTGGCCGTTGTCTACTTCCTCTGAAATCTGCCATCATCTCTGTGACTTGTGGACAGGAATGTTTGGCCTTGTGTCTTGCCAGCACAGATTTAGTCTAGTTATTAACAAGATCTGCTTTTGGCAGGCGTGTACAGCAAACAACAGTCTCAAGTAGGGCAAGTGTATGGGGCAGATCATGAGATAACATAAGCTTATCTGATGCAGCAGATTCACTGATACAGGCGTTTGACGGTGTATGCTTATATACAGGACAACCGGCCAAGTTAAGGATTGAGATTTATGCGAACATTCAAATGTGGGAATTCTTGTTAATGCACAATACAATTTCTTTTAGGCTTTCAAGTCTGACTGAACTCCAAGAGCCACAGTTATTGTGTCTTATTCATTACTCTCCAGTCTATTCAGTGTTTCCCTAAAGCACATAGTGGCAGCCCTGACAGCTGCAGCAGCAATGCTTTGTTTTCAGTTTCATTTTAGATGCTGTTACACACTGGTATCTAAACCTGACATGTCTGCTTACTGTAATTCTCCACTACCTGACAGTCTGGTTTTTCCACTCCGACTATTACTGAGCCAGTCTGGTAGTGTGCCGAATGATGAATTTGCAACCTATGTGTAATTACTGAAAATCACATTAATTGAGACAGCCAGCAGGTTGTAGTGACTGCTTAGCACTACTGGCTCACACAATTGGTAGACTGATCATGTGAGAGATTTAGATTTGTCAAATGACACACCAAAATGATTATAATGCAATCATAATTCATAAAATGTGACTCAAAGACTATTTTAAAGCACAATATGGAACAACATGGTAAAGGCTGAATATTTGCACTACTGGCAGACAACATAAAGCCTCATAAAGACCACGTAATGTAGATGAAATCAATATTATGACATTGGGCACCCTGGTAGCTCACCTGGTAGAACACGCTCCGTGTACAAAGGCTGAGACCTTACAGCAGCGGCCCGGGTTTGATTCCAACTCCTTGCTGCATGTTACCCCTTGTCTCGCCATACTCAGGATTTCTAAATGCAAGGTAGTTGCTTGAAAGGCGTGAGAGCGGCCACTAACATACATGCAACGCTTACTTCAAGGACACTCGTCACCTGAAACAGTGCTCTTCCCTCCCATTGTCCTCTGCAGTGAAACAAACTGGAGATATAGTGAATCACTTTGTAACCCCGAGGAGAGCTTTTTAAAACGTTCACAGTGGATGTCTCGAACAATGTTGTATGGTACGACGGTGTCTACAACTTCTGTATCACCGCCTTAAAGATGTTGGATTGGTTATGAAATGCAGTTTTTTTAGCTCTCTAATGGTTTCCACCCAGTTTTAGTAACAAAAACTGGGTGAAAACCTCAGTATGTATTGAGCAGAGTGCTTAGAGACTGGCTTCCCCCTCACTTTCCTATCCATTTTCAGTTGCTCCTATCTAATAAAGCAGGGCTCCAGACTAACTTTTTGCATTGGTTGCACTGGTTTTCCTTTTTTTTTTTTTTTTTTTTAGGTGCACCAGCACAAAATGTAGGTGCACCCAAATTTTTCATTGCGTTGCCTTTAATAAGGTTTTCATAAGGTCACCTTTTTATCGCTCTCCATAACTTTCATATAATGTGAATGATTTTTAAACAATAAGGTGTAGAGAAATGCTTGTCTTTATTTGAAGCACAATTATATATAAAAAGAAAAATAAAGTGTTTAAAGTGCCTCACTGAACTGAAATTGTTAAAAAAAAATGTATTAATCACAAATGCACTATGTCCGGCCTTATTCTGACCACACACCTGACAGTACACGCAGTGCATTGCCTTACGTCCTTTGATGTACCTCAGCCAGGGAAATTGTTTCAGCCAGTCCTGTCTGAAGGAATATATTTTGGCCTTTCTAATTTGGGTCTTGGAGCCGGGCTCTATCCCAGACTCGGTTGTCTCCTCCTCTGGTTCTGAGTCTGATGCTGTCGCCGAAGGACCAGGGCTTGGTATCTCACCAGGGACCGAGGGCTCCGTGTCTTGACGGGATGGACTCTCAGTAGTGGGGATGGATGGGATTATAGTAGTAGGGCTGGTTGTAGGTTTGGTTTTCTTAATGAAAAAACTTTTAATATTTCTGCCTCTCTTCATTTTCCCTCGTTTTGTCACGTTTATTTTATTTTTCCGTTTCAGTTAGTCAGCTACTCTCGCGCTCAGGTCGCGCGCAATTTTTAACACACGCAACTTAGCGCGGTGAACAGGACCACAGCCAATCAGAGGCAAAGACCCGCCCGAGCTCTGTCTCTTATTGGTTTAGAACACGATATGATCCTACCATGAGTGTGTGAGTTCAGTCACAGGAGAACACAGAGAGGTGATGCGCTTGCGAAATAAATTGTGTTATGTTTTCACCCGGGCAGCGTCAGGTGCACCAGTGCGACCTAGAAAAATTATGAGTCGCACTCTTAAAAATTTTTGCCGCATGTGCGACCAAATTGGTCGCACTCTGGAGCCCTGTAAAGGCAATAAAAGTTCAAAAAGTAATCTCTAAAAATATATATTATAATATTAATTAGAGTGGTTTTTACATCAACATGAAAAATGTATGCATTTCAGGAACAAAATAATCTAAATATGTGATGGTGATCATCAAAACAAAACTTTTGTTCAAAATCCTTAAGTAACGTAGGATCAATTCATCTGGATAGATGTCATTCTCATGGAGACCATTTTAAAGAAGACATGCAACAGACAGGGACAGTGAGAAAGTAACAAATATGTGGGGGGAAAAATCCAACAGACAATTTCTCAAATCTGTCTCGTGTCTGCCTTTTGTCTCCACTCCTTCTCAACTGGTCCAGAGGTTACATTAATTGAATTCATGCCAATTTGAAATAATTGGGGGAGGAAAAGATGCTTATAACCCCAGAACTTGCCTGAGAATCGTTAGTTTTCCCTAGGTGCACTGCAGACAGGAACTGCTAATAGCTAATTCAGCACAGTTTTAATGGTGCCAATTTGCCCAAATGGTAAGAAGTGTCGGCTAAAAACACAGCAGCACACTGCTAACTCACTGAGGCTACATCCACAATACTATGTTTTAGTGAGTTACGTTTTGCTACGTTTGCGCTTAGCGTTGTTTTCAAACCCCTAAAAACGCTGCCGACCCCGTTTCAGTTTTAAAACGTGTTGCGTTTAAGTCTGGACGGCCATAAAACAGACTTTCAGAAACGATCACTGACTGGGTCTCATCAGTCACTCACTAGTTCGTCACAACCCTGTCCTGTGACCCCTTTCCTGAAGAAAACAAAGCATGACTCATGCCTTGAGAACCAGTGGTAAAGTAGACATGGATAACCAATTAACGTTACAGCCAATTTGTTGTCTATGCTATCAGCTGTGAGCAACAACAAAAATGAGCTTGGATGTACAAGCGTTGTGTGACTACAAGCACAGTTTCATGGACGGTGTTGTCAATAATAATGGAATACTTTTGATTCACTGATGTTTAAATGTTTGCTAGTATAAGATAGCTTTGGTTAGCCTGTTGTTTGTCTGTTCAGCCATTCTGCGTGTTATTTAGCATTAGCCTCATGAGCTAAATTACTGTTAGCATTTAGCAGTACAGTTAGATACAATAGTATTGGACCCCTGCTGTAACATAAAGTGACAATCATATAGTATGAGCATACGGACGATTACTCAAGTTTTACTTTCCAATTCCAAACTCCAAAGAGATGCTTTATAAACTTCATAAACACAAGACATCAGCCAGAACTTAGGACCCAGTGCGGTTAAAAATGGGAGATAATCAGCTTATAGCCAGCACAGCAAACTTTTCACATACCATATGCACCACTTGAAACTGCCTAATATGGAAAGCAATGTATATTTATGTCGTTGGTCAATCAAGTTCTAGGCTTGTTGACCTCTGAAGGAAACAGAAGTGGATAATACTTTATTTCTAAATAGCATCCACTCAGCCTCCGTTAACAGATAATGTATCTATTTATCAAACCCACACAAAAAAGGCAGCAACAACTGCATTATCCCCTCTAGGGCTTGGATATAGAAACAACACAGTGCCGAGTAATATGAAAACTTCTCCAGCCAAAAGATACCTGCATTCAATCCTTTTTGTACCCAAATCTTGAAAAAAAAACTCAGCCAATCAACGCAAGCGTCCTTTTAATTTAAAGATTTGAGTAAGCTGTTAGTTGGCAAGTAGAGTCTTCGTCGACCCACTTTTCATTAGTAGGACATTCGCAGAAAAGCAAGAACAGTGTCAGACAGGAGCCTTGTCACTGGAACAAAAGTATCAGGAGATTGTTGCAACTCGGGCCTTTTCTCTTAACACAGCATTGCTAAAAACAAAAGTATCACATGAAGTACTCTATTGATATCAGTAACACATTAACAATACTAGTATTGGTACTAGTAATTTTTTAATTTTTAAAACAATAACCAGCCATAATCCTCTCATAATCAGTTCTCTTCCCTGGAAGGCTTTTAATCTGAAGCAGCTGGAGGAAGTTGAATATGCACCAGCGGCAAACTAACTTGCAAACTCCAAAAAGTTAACACTCCGAGTGAAACAAACAAATCACACATTCAGCAAGAACTTGTCTGACCTCATAAAAGAAGCGTGAACGTGACAGTATTTTAATCTTTACTGTTTTACATGCATGGAGCACCAATGCAGGTTTACCGTTACACTGCAACGTACTGCCCCCAACCCTGCTACCATGAATTCTGCGTCCTCACCTCCAGGTAGAGCGGGGAGCTGGAGCCGTGGTTCATCCTCTGGGCCAGCTGGTCCCGCTGCAGGATGCACTCCTCCAGGTGGATGACGTTTGGGTGCTGGCTTTGGATGCTGCTGAGGGCCCAGAACTCCCGCAGGGCCAGCTCCACATTTTCTGGAGAGTGGCAGCGGATTTTCTTCACCGCCACCCGGGCCCCTGTGCGCTTCACTACTGCCTCATAGACCACGCCGTAACTGCCACGCCCCACCTCCTGGATCAGCTCGTACTTCGGCTGGCTGCTTACCATCCTAGTCCTCACTGTGGACAAAGAACATGGGGTTAATATTCTACTGATTCTGTTTCAGGTTAGTTTACACAGCAGTGTTGTACATTCTCTTACATGCAGCATAATTCATTCTTAAAGTTCAGCCAAACAGTATGAGGTAAAGATAGTTACCTGATCACAAAGTGCAATTTGCATTCAAGTCATTTTTTTTTAAAAAAAAAAAAACACTCTCGTAAAGTTCAGATGAACGTCCAGGCAGATGAGTGCAGAATGAATGACGGTCTATGGAGCTATACCCCTCAAAATCCACTTTTCTCAGCATATAATTTTTTATCTAGTAATTTGAATGTTGCATTCGAAAGGGGATGCAAAGAAATGACACAATGCTGGGTGTTAGATTTTTTAGAGTCACTTATTTTCTTTAAAAAGTCTTTTAAAATGTCAATTACGTCACACACATCGTACGGCCAGAGATACTGCTTTACGGCAAGCCTCGAGTCACTTTGTGCTTCCGCGCTCTGCACTTCCTTTTCTCTCGAGGCATCGACAACACAGACATAACGATAGGCAGATAATGTTATGGGCAACAACAACTCGTCCTGTAAGAAATCGAAAGGACATAAGTACTCGTTCATTCAACTTTCGACCCATAACCCATGTTGAACTTGCAAAAACTACAATCAAATCTGAGATTTCTCAACGACAATCAGGTGAAAGAGACAAATTTAGCCATCTAGCTCCATCTGCTCCCATTCATTCTGCACTCATGGGCGATCGCCCCCAGTGGAACTCTGCTGGAACTGCAACCAAAAATCGGTACACTGGGACTTAATAGAGAGTGGCCAGGCTCTCCGTAGACGGGCTCTGATAGTACTAACTGTAAGGGCCCCTAGGTTCTGGAATTCCCTGCCTGCCCCCAGAGATCAGGCTCATCACTATATTACCTGCTTTCAAAATGCTTTTTTTTTTTTTTTGCTAAAATGCTTGATGTCTATAAAGTTTGGTGTTGTTGCTGTGTAGTTTTATATTATTTTATTTTCATATTTTAACTATGCCAGTTGCATAGTTGCACTAGCTGTATTAGCATCCACAGACTCCTCGTTCCCTGCATAGTGTCACCATGCCGTCTCACCAGGTGAGTGTTAACATTTGGTGTGCTACCACTGGACTTCATTGCTGTTTGACAGATCTTACAAATGGCTAGACTTTTATCCAACTTTCCTTCCTTCTTATAGAATCCAAATGTCTTCCTAACTTTAGATTTGATGGTGCACTGGAAATCATGTCAAGAGCACATTATATAAGAACAAAAATGAGAGAACCTACATTATACACTACTGCACACACACTATTAGCACCCTGTTAATTACTGCATGTCCCAGGTAACCACCAGGTAACCAATACCCCTAAAAACAATAAATACAACATAATAAAAAATCTCACACCTTAACCACACCACATCTTAGAGCCACAAAAATAACCAGTGTTAAACTGACACCTCATTTCACAAACTGGTGTCCGTTACAGGGTTATCATGTTACCTTGTTGAGGTGTTTTATGACTTCATGCCCCTGCACATGTCACACCAGAATGTGATGCTTCCAAGAAGTTGTTACACAGCTGAAAGCATGCACTGCAAAGCAGTTTGCACTTACAATGGGAAGTGTGAGGCTTACCTCACCAGAAGAGGTCAAATCATATAATCAGTTTTATGCATCCTTATTATGTAGTTACATAACCCTGATATACCTGCCAGCCCAGAAAATGGCACAAGGGCTGGAACTAATAATTATTATCATAATCAGGTACGTTTTTGAACAAATAATTAAGTAATCAGATACAGAGAATAGCAGCAAGTCTTCATATGTAATACAGGAATTTTTCCTTTCACATTTATAATCGATAAATGCCCTGATTGTTGTTGATTCATTTTCTGTTAATTGACGAATCTATTAATGGACAGAGATTACTTTTAATGAAAATGATCATCATTACTGTTCGTCTTCTACACCTAGTATTAATAGAATATTATTAATAATAACATGTAAATAAACAGTTTTAACAGTATTAATAACACTATAATAAAAACCTACATATGTAAGTGTTGTTTTGGCCAATTCAATGACATATCTATAATATATTTAATATGCTGACTACATTGAATTTATTCCCAATTAATGAAGAGTGCGTCGTCATTTAAACAGATAATCTCTTAAAACCCATTACTCAAACTATTGAACTACTGGTTTCCAATAAGAGACCATGGGAAACATAACATTATCTAATGACCAAACCTCTGCAAAACATCCAGTTAGCACTGCAACGAAACTCAAATTGCTAACCCACCGTACTCGAACCGACTGGACGACCACTCACTGACAGTGTTCAAACTCACTCCAGCACCTGCCTGCACTTGGCTGTACACCGGACAAATCAAATAACTTCATTCCAATGTAAAGATACTTGACAGTGTCAGCTTTGGAGGTAATAAACATCTCTAATAAGTCGGAAGCGAAACGCTGCTCCCCTGACAGAAAGAGCGATAGCCAGCATGCTAACGGGGCTAATTAGACATCCACTCGCCTGATTGGCTAACAGGCTAACAGCTATGTGGCCTGGCCACCGCCAGCTAACGATGTTGTTGGTTAGCTAACGTTAGCTAATCACGTTAACACCCGCTAACAAAGAGTCCAGCTCTCGGAACCATCGACATGTAGGTCCGCATCTGGCTTCCATAATTCAAACCTAAAACAAGTCCAATGCTCTCACACTGTCCTAACGCTGGGGGACGGAGGAGGCGTGCATGGTAAGCACTGGCTATTGACAGTTTATTGTCCTGTGTGTATGTGTGTGCGTGGGTGCGTGCGTGTGTGCGTGCGTGCCATACACAAATTGAACCAGATTCCTCACAACACACACCTGCGAGCCAAGTAGACAAGTAGCCACAGCAGACCAGACAATGGGCTCCATGTAGAAAAGGCTGCAGGTTGTCATGTTTTCAGTCTCACCTTTGAATCGTTTCTCCGGGGTTCATTTGTTGTCTTCCTCACTCTCCCTGGCAGCCATTACCGCCGCACACGTTCTGCTCGCACAGTCAAACCGAGGAGGGTTTGTCAAACACTGGACGTGAGAGCGTGCAGCTGCTGAGCAGCGCAGCGCAGAGGTGGCCGAAATCACACGACTTCCGGCTACACATTTCAAAATAAAGTCCCTTTTTGTGAAGAACAATAGAACAATGTGTAAATGCTCGAGAAGTTCAGGACACACAATCACACACAAACTAATATTTTCCAAATGACCTTACATCCAGTATCCAATATGAGTCACATATATATATAAAATAATGTCATATTCCAATGTAGTCAATAGCAGAAACTTTCATTCATTTAAAACAGAATTTAGCTCACCATTTTATAATGTATGACTTATTATGACATATATAAATTGTGTATATATATTGTTTGTTTTTATAAGTTGCATAAAGGGAACTACAATCTGAATTTAATTGCACAACCATGCATGTGTAAAATGACTGTGAATAATGAATAATTAAATTACCTTGTATCCTTGTATCATGTTGAACGTGAATGTGCTCATATAAATGAATTAAGGCACAATGACAATAACAACTTTCCAGTAACAAAGGAATTACATTACTTCCATTTCACGATCTTTTGCAAACAATTATTAAGTTACAGAATACATGTAGGCAAGTAAAATAACTTATATACTAAATATGATTTTGCCAGGTAATATAATAACTTTACAAGTATCATTACACTGAAGAGAATCATATTCACTATATTGGAAGTTGATGCCAGGACTTCGTTACTGAAAAGTTGAACCATGTCTGTTTTACAGTTACATATCTATTATTTAACAATATCGCTAATAACTTCTTTTTCCCATAGGGGACACATTTGTACACTTATTTTGAAGGAAAGTCACAGCACTTCCGGCCGGACCCTAGGTAGAATCTGGGTGGCTTTACGTAGTTCCCCATATTTTTCTGTGAAATGCGGACACCCTCTGCCCTCCTCCTCAAACCGAACTGTCACTAACAAGGGGGTGGACACAATAACAAGAACACCTGCACACATCTGTGCAATGAAATGCAAGGACCCTGTCAATCTTCCTGAAGCTTAGACTTTGACATCTCTGTTGAGAAAATGAAACGGAAGAGTTTGGGTTGTCTAATGATAATAATAATTAAATGTATAATAACTGAATAATTAATTGTATAATAATGTAAATAATAATAGCTAGATCTTGAGATTTTTTAGATTAAGTGTAAAAGTATAAAATTGTATTCATTTCCACTGATGTTCAAAGCAAGGCTGGAAATGAATGTTGTCCATTTGCCACAGAGTTTGTAGATAAAGATTCTCTATAAAGTTTGATGGGGTCTCCCAATCACATATTAAATGATTTGCAACCAAAGCATTTATTGACCGATGCCAGGCACAATACCATGAAAAGTACAACAGCTTTTTCTCCACGATTTCATATGTATCTTGTGGTCTTCATCAGTGAGTTTGCCAAGTTGTCATGTAAATAGCTTGGTTCCATACATAGGTTGCATGGTGATACGAACTGAGCTATCACTATAACAACTGAGCAAACGCTATCTGCTGAGGAAAATGGCAAAATGTGGTCGAAAACTCTGGAAAATGCTGGTAAGTGCACCTTGAGTTAACATTTCCTTTTTGTATGTGTTTGGCTTCATTATAATCAAAAATCAAATTAGTTTCACTGTTGTCCAAGTGATTAATACAACACTGCACTGAAATAATAATAATCACTTATGTGTATACTGAATATTACCTTTGCAAGTATTGCCTAAAATAAGATTCAAAGTGTGAACTTTGAATCAATATCTAGCAAAAGTTTAACATCATCAGCATAAAGTCAGAAACAGATAAATGAAACACAAATCTTCTCTATGTTAGATCTTTAATTTCCCATTGTGTTGCAGCACAGTTGCAGGCTGAAAAATTAAGCAAGGTGGGGAGATGATCCATGTTTAAAGACAAACTTAATCATTGAGTTAAACAAGGCTTTAGTATGTGTTCAGCACCACCCTGAGTACTGAGTAAAGATCATATTTATAACCAGAGTCAACATGAATATACTTAATCCAAACAGTCTTTGCACAGTTACAGTGAGGGTGGACTTCTGTCCCCAGAAAGATGGGTGTGTCTCTTCTGGTAAGTAGAGATATGGGTGTTCGCTTGAAGAATGCAAGTTAACATTTTATTTGCGTATTTATCAGTGCTTTTGTGTCTCTCTATGTCCTGGAAACTAGGCTAAGACTTCAGTAAAATTCACACCACTTTGGTCTTAAGTTGAGGATCTCTTGCTGTGTTGGCTGCAACAACAGGCATAAAGATACTATAAAAATAGCAGAATACATTCTGTGAGGTAGCACACATCACATTGAATAAGGTGGTGTAAAAAAACAAAGTAATAATAAATACTTGAACAGACAACAAATTTACAATACATATAAAACAGTTTTTTGGACAAGCTGTTCTAAAGCTGTCCAAAACCACACCTGAGGTAGACTTGTATAGATTTTTGACAAGACAAGTTCTGTCTTGGTCACACATAGGAATACAAACTACAAAAGACAAGACAAAACACTGGGACATGGGCTAGATTAGAGTATTATACACGGTAGATTAGACCCCATTGTACTGCAGCAAAGTGAGCATTATGGTGAACTCAAGCACATAATACAGGCATAATGACCCATAATGATGATCAATATTGATGCTTTTAAACATCATTTGTGCTATGCAATCAGTGGGCTCAATCGCCAGTCCCCTTAAACTAATCTATTATTCTACTCATTATCATGCAGACACATCATGAACATTATGTCGATACATGTGAAAAAGATGATATGTACAATAAAAGCAATTAAAATATAGTGCCATGCTTGCTTTGACTTGTTGAAAATGTCAGTGGATATTTGCTGTCTCTGAATACCTGTTTTGGTATCCATCAGAGCAGGACTGTTAAAAGTAAATATGTCAGTGCTAATGATTAAGAAATCTTACTTTGGATTACTTAAGCAGTTTAAGTTTTTTTTTCTGTATCAGTCTGATCTTCAGTGCATTCCAGGGCTTATTTTGTACTGTTTTAAAGCCGCAGTGGGTAATTTTTACAAAAATAACTTTTTGTCATTATTGATAAAATTCTGAGTAACCGGATTTTTTCAGAATATCTGTCTCATCTACTACTGTAAGGATATAGCAAAAGTTTCAGCAAATATAACAAAACCTACTGCAACTTTAAGTCACACAAGATTGCCACAGTACTGCTCTGTTTCATGTGGTAGAAAATTACATTACAGATAGTGCATGGCTCATTTGGCAGTTGATACCCTGGGTCTTAGGGCACTCCAAGACAGTAAATAACTTAAACATCTAGACACATCCTAAAAGAAACTAGATCAAGAAAGTTCTCCCTGAGTTCAAAATGAAAATGTTCAATTAACTCCATGTGGGCTGAGGTCACTGAGAATCCAATCTTACATACACAGAATGTGGTTTTTCTGTGTGGAGACAATACAGTAAAGTTGTAGATTTGCAAAACTACACTTATAATATGACACTGCCAGTAAACAATTAAACATTAATAGAACTGAAATACTGCACAGCAAGTGCTTCACAGTACTGAGTTGTATTGAAGAGGTATAAAGATCTGTCTGGATCACAGCACATGTTCAAAGGAAACTATTAAAAGGTCCAGTGTGTGACATTTAGGAGGATCTATTGGCAGAAATGGAATATAATATTCATAATATTCATTCAGTATCCAACAGACAAACCAAACATTGGCTTTAGATAGGGGCATTTGCGTTTTGCACGTGTTTCATGGCCACCATAGCTTCTCCTTCGTGCTTGGAAGGGGAGGGTGAAGCGAGGGAGCTGTGATGTGAAACTACACCACTAGATGCCACTGAATCCTACACACTGGTCCTTTAAAGCTATCAAATGGTAAGTCTGCCCTTCAGGGAGAACAACTCTGAATAAATAGTTAATATAAAAAAAGATAATATTTATGTACATTTAGCCGCTTGACTAAAATAAGTGAAGGCAAAAACCAAAAAGATTCCACATCTCAACTCCTTCCTTCTGCTTCACCAAAAGCTTTCAAGTACTAGTATAACTGAGTAATGTGAGAAAATCCCTGGTGTGTGTGTTTTTGTGTGTTTGTGTGTGTGTGTGTGTGTGTGTGTGTGTGTGTGTGTGTGTGTGAGAACATTCCTTCAGGTTAATACTGTTTTGCAGAAAAAGTCTGCCATACAATCAATACTGGTCTTGCATATAAGTTCAAATAATGAAATGGCAACTAGGTATTTAGGATTTAAACTTCACCACTAATGGAAAAAAGTAGAGTTATTTTTCAAAGGTAGACATGTAGTGAAATAATGTTGTTTTCAGTGGAATATGGCATCTAAAAGCTGCTCTCATCAACCTCATTGGAAAGTGGAGGTCATGGCACTTAAGTTGTGACATTCACTTTTCACTACCTGAAAAGGTTTTCCCATAAAGGCGGACATAAATAGTTTTAACAAAATATTTGTCCTGCAGGCATATGTTTTTTCTCTTACATTCACATGTTGGATTGTTTACATCATGTTTCAAGTTTAGTAAAAAAAAAAGAAAAGAAAAACAACAATCATCAGTTTACAGCAGTATTAGAGTATTAGAGCCACTTTTTTTGAGAAAAACGTTGACATATTTTGAGAAAAGTCTGTATGACTTTTTGAGTATTACAAGAGGATCAATATTGGTAGAATAAAGTAAAGTGTAATTGTACAAGAAATTCAATCGGAATATTATGACAATAAAGTCATAGTATTACATACAAAAACTTCATATTTTGAGAATATATATTTTAGACTTCTAAAAATGTTTTTCTTAAAGTGACCCTAATACTGTGTGATCTCATTTGATCACACTGCAAATTCAATGTATAATTAACGGGATATGATCTTGTCAGTTGTTGTGAACGGATTGTAACCCAATCCTCCATTCTGAAACCAGACACAAGAGTTTCACTGATAGTATGGGTGTTTGAAAGCCAATACTGGTACTTTTAGTCAAATGCTGTAGCCACTGTTCTGTTGTACCGACTAATATCATAAACTTTGATATTTTTGGTGGCAAGAAAAATCAGTGTGATAGGTTTATTTATAAAGGGTAAAGAAAGTGTAAAAGCCTCTCAGTGCGCACACAGGATAACATTTTGCAACGCTTCACTTTGTCGCTCGGCTCGCTAGCAGTGCTCGTCTTGGTAGGCTGAAGGTACGTTGCTGTCGCAGAAATAGCATACTAACAAGTTTCTTAAGCTTTATTGATAATGTCCTTTGTATTTTATTGTTGTTGTTTTGATTTTAAAAATATATTTTTGCCAGTACCCTAATTCAGCACTACCCTAACCACATCATAACCCTAACCCTTATTTTTTAAACATTTTCAGCGCTATTTTCTTAGCATTAAGCTAGGTATGTGTTTACACAGGAAAGTAGTTATGCAGGCATTTTGTCCTGACCCTGACATTATATATTTATATATATATATATATATATATATATACCATAACCATCTCACTCCTCATGTCTGAAGCTAACCAACAAAGGCAACAGACACTAGCCAATCAGACGCAGAATATGACCATTATCTGAAATAGCCCAAAAGCTTTAAGTTGCAACTTAAGTAGCTTTAACATGTAACCTCCCTGTACCATTGTGCCATTATATATTCAAGAAGCTTTTTATCTAGCTAACTGGTTGGATTAGCCACTAGTTAGCTAGATTCTAGCTTTATTTTATTTTTTAGGGCGGGTCTTCACAAAATGATGGTGGAGAAAAAAAATCTAATGTCATGCGGATATTCAGGGTTGAGTACCTAGACTCACCAGGAGGTGGCGGTAATCAGAAATACTCAGTACCTGTGAGCACTGGCTCATTTCAGGCACTGTGTTTAAATAACATGAAATAAAGCTAGAATCTAGCTAGCTATTAGCTTACTAGCTAGCTAAATGGCTAAAGCTTATTGCATATAACGCATAATGGCGTACAGGAAGGCTACATGTGTGCTATTTCAGATAATGTTCATACTAGGAAAAGCAATAATTCCTGCTACTTTCCACCGTCTATTATGTTTATCAAGAGCTTTAATTATCTGATAAAGAAGGGTGCTGTAATTCAGGAAATCCCAATAATTACCCCACTTGATGGCCTTTGAAAGATGAAGTGGAATTACTGGACCTATAGAGTGGATATTAATGACCCACTGTTGTATTCGTAAATGGAAATGTTCTTACCACTCGTTCATCTGCCACATTAGGAGGTACACCTATACAATCCAATGCAACTGTTCTGCCGTAAAGTCTAATTTATGACGCCTATAATGTTATGTTTTTGTTGACACTGTCTTAGAGATGTTTTGATTTGTCATAGCAGGAGAAAGGTGTGCCAGTATGCAAGCAGAGCCTAAATGGAATGCAGCATGATTGCACATGCACTTCTCCTGTTATGACATGTCAAAACATCTGCTGCAAAAAAGATCTATTATAACCACCATACAGGTTTTATAGACCGTACTGTTTTATATCTGCAAACCCATATATCAGTCAAACCCATTCTGGTGCTTTAGGCCACTCAGAACTACTTTCCACACACCCGGTATGTGTACAGTGCTTTGGAGAGTTGTAAACCAGTTTGATTTTTGTACTTGAATCATTGTAAAAAGGAGGCACACATTATGTCAGATCAGTCCGAACAAGGAATTGATATCTGTGGCTACTACCCGGCTGAATCAACAGTAAGTCTGATTGTTTCATTCCAAAGCTAAGACACTTATACAAGGCAGAAAAACAACACAAAGGGAAAAGAAAACAATTTCAAAGTGGACATGCCTGTCAGCGTAGCGTGGTACTGAGAGCATCTGCCATCAGTACCATGGTGATGACTCCTATTCTGCCGCTCAATAAATAAAACCTGAGGTAGCTCTTAAGCGGTGTTCCAGTGAAAAATCTCACAGTCTCCCTCTATCATTCACTCGGAGTTTTCAGAGAGGGTGGCCTGGCTGTGCTCCTCTTCCTCGTCCCTCCGTGAGGTAGCTGTTCCCTGAGAGCCTGGAGACGAACGCTGCTGCTGTGCTTTGACCGGACAGTTGGCCACCATGTGGGAAACACTCTGACAAAAATGGCACTTTTTGGGCTGAGGGGGCAGCTGACACTCTTTGGCATGATGGCCGGGTCCTCCACAGTTGTAGCATCTAAAATGAACAGAGAGAGGGAATTACCTCAGAGTGGCCATCTCAGTTACAACAAAAATGTATTATCCTCTGAACGGGGACTTCACATTCTTCCGACGGGCCATTATTCCGAAATCCCAACAGCCCAAGAAATTTCCAAAAAGATAAGTTGGTGATACCAGAGTGTGTATTTTCAGAGCAACAGGCCTTCAGAGCAATGGACATTTGTTTTTGGAGTAACTGGCTGTCGATCAAATGGGCTTTTGGTCCAATTGGGGTTTCGGAATAATGAGCCGTCCGAACAATGGCACAGCACCTTCAGAACACTCATTTTTGAACGGTTTGTATTTCTCTCAAGCACATTCATCAACATGTTCTTTGTGTAAATTCTCACATGCAAACATCCTAACATCAGTGTTTCCTGTTTTCAGTCATCTAACTTTTTCATAATGCCAGAAGAACTTATAACAGGCAAAGCTTCAGATAATGTTCGTCACATGTTCATCCTAACCACAAAAAACTGCACGTCAAAAATACACAGTGTGTCCATACGGTCAGAGGGAGAGGTGGACATAAAGGAACAGACAGAGGGACGTATTTTATTGAGAGATTTGTTCTTTCATTTTGGTCATTTTTGTCTCACAGTACAGTAATGTTACGTATCGGGTTCTTACTGTGGATAGGGGCAGTAAAGGTGAACAATAAGACTGAGAAAATTCTCTTTGTCACACTGACACAGTTCCTAAAAACAGACAGCCTTGGTATCAACATTAAATATTAACACCAACAATAATAGCAGTACTATTTGATTAAGTACAAAGTGAAAGACATTATTATTATTATTATTATTAAAATGCATGTAATCTTCCTGACAAGAAGCTGATTTTCATTTTAATCTGAATAAAATCCAATCTGCTGTGAGATGACATGATTTAATTCTACCACCAGAGGGCAGCACACTCCAGCTTTAGTTTCAGAGTCCTCTGTCGTTAAACAATGTGTCACCATGTGTCCGCATTAACTGCTGTCCCAGTGGTGGACAGCTGTTAGGGGATTTGACCAAATTGATCTGTGTCCCTCAGGGGATAGCATCAGGGATACTTCGTTGACAGCAAAACTTAAAACTGGCTTTGTTGTTCTACCAATCAAGATAAAAGGGTGGACGTTGGCTCTGCAGGGTGTTTAAAATCGTCCTCCAGTCAAAACTGAGCATCAGGGGGCGCCTGAATACCTCACCTGGTAGAGCTGGCGCAGCATATACCAAGGCTGAGTCCTTGCTGCAGTGGCCATCGGCTGGGCTCCGACCTGTGGCCCTTTGCTGCGTGTCTTCCACCCTCTCTCTACCCCCTTTCCTGTCACTCTTCAGCTGTCACTATCCATTAAAGGCAATAAATAGCCCCCAAAAATATTAACAAAAATAAACTGAGCTTCAATATCCAGAATGATGTATGTGAGGAGGTATAGGTATATTTATATTAGTGTATAATCACCTGAATGTGAGAATCATTGTGTTTTTGTTACCTTAGATTACACCTTTTTTATCTACAGACGTCATGTTTCGTCTTCTATGGAGTCCGCCATGCTTCTACAGTAGCCCAGAACGGACAAACCAAGCACTCTCTATGCTCTAGATAGGGGTGTTCATATTTTTCACACGTTTCGTGGCCACCGTAGAGTCTCCTTGGAGCTTGGAAGGGGAGGTGGAAGCAGCATCTCCAACTGCATCACTAGACGCCACTAAATTCTACACACTTGACCTTTAAAACAAGCTCACTACAGTTTATAACTGATTTCTTGACGAATCTGTAAGACAACCACAAGAAGGCATCATAGTTTCAAAGAGGATTCCACTTAAAGTCAATGGACAGTAACATAAAATCATCATCCAGTCCTAATCCTGCCGTTAACCGTATGTGTATGCATCTCCACACAGAACAAGCTGCTATGATCTTGTAGCCGTGTGTGTATTGATATCAGTAAATCTATGCTGAGAAAGCTAATGATCAGCAGCTAAGTGAAATCCTGTTGGTGAATTCATTAGGGCACGATAAATAAGGCAAGTGAGGCTCAAGCACTGTGCAGTGTGACACAGAGAGGCAGTGGCCACTTAAACAGGCAGAAAGCATTGATTTTTTTCTGTACGGACAACCTGATTTTCTACAGGCCCCGGCTTTTCCCTTTTGCTCTCCATCTGCAGCCCAACAAGTAAATGTAGCAGTGAAGGCAAGTTATACACTCAATGACACAGTTCCCTCAGAGGCATTATCGAGATATAATAAATCTGACTGGGCCTGTTTTCACTAAAACAGTCACCGACATTTTAAACACATGGGTATATTCTTTAGGTAACCCATACATCTGCATGGATCTGAGAATAATGCAGATATATTGGTACTGGCTTATTAAGTTGGCAGATAAGGATCAAGAAATTTGAAAAATCGTGCTCAGTAGATAAAATCATGGAACATCTGCCTCAAAAACCCGGTATAAGTCACTTCATGTTTGAATGTTCACTGTGATGAATTACTTATCTCAAGCAAGTGTCATGCTTCTCTAATACTGTGCAGAAATAAATGGAAACTGGCTAAATGGCTGCCTGGACGCAGGGGAAGCACATTTAATCTGACACACTGCAGCAAGCTTTGGTCACCTGTACATGGACAGACACAAACTGACACTGCAGATAAAAAAATTACTGGCCGACAACTGATATACTGTAAAGGCAAACCGAAAACATCAAAATAAAGTACCCTGTAAGTTTCATCCTTTATATATACACAACTACTTCCCTTTAATAAAGGGACAGCTCACCCCCAAATCAAAAATACATATTTATTTCTATTTTCTTTTATACCAAACTACTTTTCAAATGTATTTTTTTTTGAGCACCACAAGCTGGCTCTACAGCCAAAATCTCTAAAACATGGCAACTCACACCAAAACATTTTAAATCGATGAGTGGCGCTACAGGTAAGCAGGAAAAATATGTATTTTTTATTTTGGGGTAAACATTCCCTTTGAGGCAGTGGTTGTCAACCTGGGGGTTGGGACCCCCAAAGGGTCACAAGATAATTCCCAGGGGTCGCCAAATGGTTGAGGAGAATAATATAAAGAGCTTTTTCCCTGAAAACAGCTGCCTGCTGCTGGAAATCAGGCTGATGATACGCAGACACTGAACCAAAACAGTCAAACAGTTGCTGGTCAATCAAAACAAGGAGCTGAAAGATGCTAAACCACTGTAAGCTGAAAGGAGGGGCAGAGATGATAGTTAAACAACCCACAAATATATAGTTTAATTTAAAGAAATGTTACTCAGAAAAGAGTTGGGGAAAACTTTCAGCGGTGCATTAATCCACATTGGGTGCTATAGTGAGTATTTTTGGCAGCAGGACAGTGTGTGTGGGATTAAGTCCGAACAAACTACAATGTGTGTGTTCATGGTAATGAAGGAACATGTCAGCCAGTGCAACAGTGTGGCTGACTGATGTGTTTTTAATAGCTTCTGTACAAAAATGGAGCTCTATGGCACAGAGGAAGAAGATATATCAGGCTGTGATACACACATACAACACTGTTGTTGGTCAGGGTACTTTCATTGAATTTGCTGATGGCAGAAAACTACAGCTTGCATGTGTTTTAAAGCAGCTCATGTTCAGTGAGATAGATGCCTGAGCCCTGGATCACCTCACAGCTAACCACCACTTCCTTCCTCTCTTTGGCCTTCCTCCCAGCCCCCCCATCAGGGCTCAGTATCGATCTGCGTGGCCACGAGGGTGGGAGAAGGAGTTCCTTTGTCTCAATACCACCGTGACCTCTGAACCCTGACCCCTGCTCGCTCACCAGCCCCTCCTCCTCATTTGCACACCACATCCCATTGTTGCTATGGCAATGGTGACCTCTGGCCTCTCTCGGGCACCTACATCTGTTATCAATTAAACGGATAGGATCCTTTTCCTCCTCTGAATACTACATTTATGTTTGGGAGAAAAAGGGGAACATGTGAATGCAATCAAACCTATAGCAGATACTTAAGGACAGGAAGTTGTGGGATTATTTTTATCATTGCCCACCATGAGTAATGAAGTTCAACCTAATAGATGCTATCACATTAATAACTTTGTCAGATCTTAATGGCCTGCAATCTGCAAATCTAACTCCTTTTCTCTTAACTGAAACATTCATGATTTGGAAACCAGTGAGAAAGATGAAGTAGGAACATCTGAATGCAATCAAATCCAGCAGGTATTTAAAGACAGGAAGATTCATTTTATCACTGCCAGCCATGATTAATATACTCAAATCTACAAGATGCTATCAAATTAATAGCTTAATTCCCCAAACAAGCTTCAAAGTCAAACAGAGCAATTGCAAATAAATAGCCATTTCCTCCAGTAGCATTCACTTATAGGTTCATTTATAGCCCAGGAGTTTGTGTTTGCTAACAGAGAGATAAAGTTTGAAGTGATGAAGCTACACAGAGGCCAACAAACGGAGCGTTGGGGGTTGAAGAATCCTGAAGAGATCAAACAATCTATTGATCCAGACCAGCCTGCTGCTCCACAAAGAGCCAACACCTAACAGGCTTTCTGTTTGAGAAAGTTTTCAGCCCAAACGCAACTTTCATCATAATATAATATAATAACTGACATCACTTGTAAAAGTGTCTTTACCCTTTAGCGCTTTCTGTATGAGGCTTCATAATTTCAATACCGGTCAAGACTGGACCATTGCGCCAAAATAAAAAGATACTGAGTAGAGGATTAGAAAAAAACTAGCATTAACTTCTGTGAATGATGCATCAATATACATGGGTTCACAGACTCCCACTCAAAGCGGAGGCTGGGGGAGGTGGCCTTTACACTCTTTTTTTATATAAACGTCGTTTCTCAGCCTGCACTTACCGGTCACCCTTGGAGCGTTGTTTCTGGGCGCTCTTTGGTCTTCTCTCGCTGCCGAGACATGGTGCTCCATTGGGCCCAGTGACCCGGACAGACTCCAGCCCTTTAGATGATTTCTTAAAGGTGAACTCCACGGCCTCGCCTTCTCTGAGGCTGCGGAAGCCCTCCATGTGCAGTTTGCTCTGTTAAAGAGAGAGTTTACAGGGTTTTAGCAGATTCCTCAGATGGTGTAATCAAAAAGCTTTCTTTTTTAGAGCTAATACCAAAAACCTTCCAGGCCCACAACTTTACTGTTTTGGTTCACTCTCATCGCTCTCATAGTGTTGTAAGCATATTTCAGCTCATTATTTGGGGTTTCTTTCAGAGGAAAAGCTCTACAAACCCACTGTACACTACCTGATCAGCACCAAACAGCCATCAGATACAGTTAAAGCTAAAGAGCCATTTCCCTCAGGGGTTGGTGGAGACCAAAAACAGCTAAAAGAGAGTGAATATTGGACACTTTCACTTAATTCAATTCATCATGTGGACACAAACACCATGAAGCTCCGTAACTGCTGGATCATGATAATCAATGTTATGCTAATGTTTGCCATATCAACTTAAAAGGTGATGAATGTTGTGTGACTAGATCAATTCAGTTGTTGGGGGTAAATTTGCTAGATATCTAAGCTTTAAAAGGATAGTCCAGTTAGTGTTGATTGTAAATGTAGTAAATTGAAGCAATAGATTCTTTGGTGCATGCCATATTGACAGAGAAATAGCTGCAAAATCTGGTTTGGCTTGGAGCTTGAAGGTAACAATATAGCTACGTGTGAAAAAGAAATCAAATATGCAGGAATTCATTTGCTAGGCAACTCTGTGTAACACTGATTAGCACCCAGCAGCTAACTTCGCTGGCTCAATGGCCGTGGGCCTCAGAAGCTCACCCCCAATGCATCCATGTCTTATTCACGTACTTACATCAGGTAAGTAACGTAGATTATGATCTTTTCCTAAATCTACAAAGTAGCTTTTGTGCCTCTCTAGCCAAACTGCAACCGTTGCACAACGTAATTCCAAAAATTCCATAATTCTAAAAAAGATGCGAGAGGGATACCTACAGTGTAAAGTTGGCAGTGAGAATGTGTTCTGGTACATGTAAGCTGCTGGCACAGCTCCGCAAGCAAGAGAACTCAGTGTTCTCTGTCAATATAACACACACTGTGGGATTTATTGCTTCAATTGACTACATTTACCATCAAGACTGATTGGACATCCACATAAAAAGTGGCAAATTTCCCCTTTAAATAAGCCAATTCCACGTTTGGTCCTTAAGACAAAGGTGGAGCTTACTTAATAACTGACTGCACACTTGAGACAACCTGCAATGTTACATTAATAGGAACATGTAGCCACTCTGTCAGGGAATCCTCAGCTCGCTCATAAAAACCCAATCCTGTTGACAGCCCTGTTAAAACATCAGTGCTTTCAAAGACCCCTCCTCCCCTCATGTGTCTCGAGCCAAACCTCCAAAGCATTCCTCATCCCAACCCACCACCCCCCTTCTGATTCCTCAGCACCACCACCTATGTACATGCAGCCGAATATGAGTCCATCTGTTCAAGCCTCCAGATGACCGCTGCACTGGAGGACGCTGGGAAACGACACAGGGGAGGAGTGCATTCCTGGGATGGCTACCAGAAGAGGTGGAAAGAATGTATGCATCCTGAGAAAAGTAAATTACCAAACAGTGCACTAGGCTATTGATCTTCCACTAATTAGCTTTCCAGTTGTAGTGGTAAATAAAAGGAAGGATGAACCATCAAACACTGAACATGCCAAACACCAGCTGCACCTTTTTTTCTTAAATACCCAAACTTACTAAATAGATTGATACTATCCCTTTAAACTCTATAAAACAATCAGTTGGCTATCACTATGAAGAATCTCTAACATTTGTTCTACAGATTTTACAAACATTTTGAGCTCACATTTACATATGCTTCATATTTTCTTTGTTTATTTCCCTTTTGAACTCCAAGGTGGAGTCCAAATGGGACTCACTTGCAGAAATCAAACCTTAATCAAACAAAGAGAAGGAAGAGAACGCCTAAAACTCAAGCAGATAAGCTTTGAGCACTTTGTAGCGTACTACACATCCACCAAACAATAAAAGCAGACTGTCTGGGACTGCAGCCACCACAAGCCAACCAGCAACACGCCTTAAATGGTCATCGGTTGGTTAATACACATTAAAGCTGCTGCTGGCTCAGCCGGAGGGAGTATAGAATGTAAACCTGCTGACCAGTATGACCACAGGCTCTGTTGACTGCACTTCAACAGTCAGACATTTCCACCTTAATGAATGTCCTTTTGTTGACCACAGCACGACATAGTGGCTAAAGATGTAGTCAGATCAGAAAACTATTTCAGTTTTCATCTTAAAAAAATAAAATAAAATTCAAAACTAACAGTATACATCTCCTCTGAGTCTAAAGGTGAGTTTAGCCCCTCCCTAACTGTGATGTAATAGCCAAGACTCTAGAGGTCCAGTAACCCACACGCAAGGGTCTAAGAAAATATTGGAAAATATCGTATCACGATATTTCATTTTGTGATATTGTATCGATTCTCGAACACACTGCATACATTTTTGTGGTTAAACCCCCAACAGCGAGATAGCAGATTTTTGCCAATATACAGCCCTACCACACATATGCTCTCAAAGGACCATAACTGTGCTTCTAGTTGACTGTCAAAGCTCCACCAGACGCCCTGTCTTTCCAGCGCAGACAGTATCACTGTGCAGTGGTCAGACGGTGTCCACATGCCCCCCATGTGGTCACACACTACAGACCTACAAGGCCACTTCTCATACAGATGTTTGCCCACCCCACAGAGTTCTTGGAGAGAGGTTGGTTTGTAGACGACAGACTGTGCAACCTAGGTTTTTTTTTTTTTTTTAGGCATACTGAGGGCTTAAGCTATGGCACAGTCTCTGTATATTGTATGATTTGCTAGCAGAACCTTAAAGACCCCCCTCCAGACATGTCTTAAAACTTCCAGAATCTCTGAATATGCTAATGTTGTTCATATCTAAAGTTTTCCTGCTGGACACAAGATGTCTCCTACTTCACTGTAAAGTCCATTCTCAGTGTATCTGCTCACAGCCCCCCCCTTACAATGAGCACTGAGAAACTTTCCACTTTCAGCAGATGAATGTGAAAACATCCTTCTGGTGTCAAACTCTGCACAGACATTATTCAAATATCACACTGTTGGAACAAGAAGAAACACTGATTTTTAAGAGGAGTGGCCTCTGCTGCAATTCACATTCAGATTTAGAGTAACAGGTTCAGTTCTAACTATATTTAATTGGTCAATATAACAATACAGACCACAATCTCCCTTCTGTTCTAACCTCTGCACACCAAATTGACCCCAATGATCCACTGAAGCCCAAAACAACAGGGCCCTTATCCCCTCTCTTTCATCAGATGATTTACACAGGGGCAGGTAACCTGAGAAGAGGTCTCTGCCAAAAGGCTCCACATGGGAGGTGGGACTGAAACCCGGGGGTTGGGTGGGCTCCCTGATGCTTTAATGACTTTATAACAGGAAGCAGGGCTGGATGGGGAGAGGAATGAGCCTTGTTTTCTCTGCTTTAGCCTCTAACCCCTTTAAAATAGAAATGCTTGAGCTCTAAACCCCCACACACCTTTGAGGTTCCCAGCAAATATCTGTCTGTGAGGTGGAGTGGGGGGGGCAGTGACTCAGGCATGGTTGACTTTAAGATGTGTTAATCTTCAGGTAATTTTACACAAAAACACATCAGGTGTCTTACATTGTTCCTACAAGCTGATTTTGAGGGATAATGCCTGACTTTACTGCAGAGAGTCTTGGCTGGTCTGTAAACTGAAACAGAACAGCAGTATATCTTCAGAAGAGGAGAAGATACAACCAGTGATGTTTGTCATTTTCGCAGCTGCTGATTCATTTTCCGTGGATTGACTTTCAGCTTTACATGCAAGGTATAAAATCAACAAATAGATTACCATATCAAATCTATCATAAATATTTATGTTGTTTTTTAAAACCCATGTTGAATATGTGATGTGTGTGATATTTTGTTCTATTTTTGAACAAGATTTTATATTGTAAGCATTACAGTTATGTGTTCAGTAGGCCTATGCAAAAACAAATGTCATTTAACTTCTGAACTTTCTTTCTTTAAAGGTCCAGTGTGTAACATTGAGGAGGATCTATTGTCAGAAATGGAATATAATAATCATAGGTATGTTTTCATTAGTGTGTAATCACCTGAAAATAAGAACGGTTGAGTGTTTGTTACTTTAGAATGAGCTGTGTTTATCTACAGAGGGAGCTGGTCCTCTTCTACCGAGGCCGCCATGTTGAACCGCCACGTTTCTACAGTAGCCCAGAATGGACAAACCAAACACTGGCTCTAAAAATGCTTTCATGCTTTTTATTAATTGGCCATGACAATAAATGCTTTTTAATATATTCCGTCCTTTGGAGTGCCTGGATTGCCTTTTTGCTCCTCTGTGTTTTCCCTGTTCCCGAGAGCACCAGACACATCTACTGATCTACAAATGAGTATTCAGAGCAACCGGTCATCTTTCTTTTCCTAAGGCCTTATGGGTAGTCATTTGTCAATTATCAGCCACTGCCTCAGAATTTTGTCCTTTTGAGTTTTTGAGGGTGTTCCAGAGTTTTGATTTTTATACACTGTATGCAGGTATTGTTAACATTGTTTTACATATGAATAAGTTACATATTGTTAATAATTACATCCGTTTTTATGCAGAGTTGTGTAATAATGACAAAAGGTCATTTTCATAAAAGTTACCTAATGCAGCTTTAAATTAGAACAAAGCCTCACTTCACCACGATGTGAACGGCAGCAGCAGAGTCTCACCTGGTGGACGAACACGTCGAGCGGCTCCTCCAGAGGAGCTCCGTCCCTGCTGCTCATGGAGAGGAAGCCGAAGCCCATCCGCATGTTGAACCACTTGCAGAGTCCGCTGCCCCGGCACAGAGCCGCCGGCTCCTCCTCGCTCTGCGGACAGCCTGCTGCCCCGGGGACAGACACACAGCCAACAATACTGAAACTGGCTACTGCTGATGTCGAAAAAACTATTTTCTCAGACGACTAGTGTGGAAATACGGTGCAGCCGGTGTTCATTATCGATTATTCTGCAGGTTATTTTCTCCATTTATCAATTCATTGTTGAATCTATACAATATCGGAAAACTGTGAAAAATGCTTATTACAATTTCACATAGGCCAAGACTCCATACTTCAATGCTTTTGTGTTCAGTCCAAAGATATTCAGTCATACAAGCAGCAAATATTCACATTGTAGAAGCTGAAACAAATCAGCTTTTGTTATTTTCTTTAAAACAGGACATAATCGATTATTTTCAGTCCTTTTCTCCGCCTTTCTCTCACGTTTCTTGTTCACTCTATTACCATCACTCTCTTTTTGTGATTACAGCTCACATTATTACACCTACAACTGCTAAAACACGATGAAACCCAGTATGGAAGTAAATTAATGACAATAAAGTACAAAAGCTTTTGCTCACTATTAATGGTCTAATATTTCCTTTATTTAATTCACTGAAAATACATTTATCAATATAGCCAATTATTAATTTGTATAGCCTATTCTCACACTTTCCTACAATGGCAGAGCAAAGTAAGAACATTTCGTAAGATTTTTTAAAATCTTTTTTCATTTATGTCCACTACAGCAGGCCTTCAAAATAAAATGTATCATCCCTGTGTGTGTCAACATTAAACTCGATAAACAGCAGAATCTTTAAAAAGCCTTCATCTTACACAGATTAGTCTTATATACACAATATATATATTACTCCAGAGAAAGAGCTTTTCTAACAAGTTAGAAGTTGTATGTGGTTGTTTGTGCTCTACCTGTGAAACTCTGATTGGAAGCAGAGCCCATCCCGCCGCTCTCTGCTGCTTATCCCCGGCTTTGAAGTGCACTGAGCGGCTGCTGCCAGCCTCTCACACCTCCATGCCACCTCCACTACAACAAAAGCCCGCCTTCCCCCAGACCCCAAGAGATGTTTCTGAATAGACAACCACCCAGCCCCACAGAAGGGAAAGAAACAGACAATGCAAGAGGAAGAAAAGCCAGCCCTCTCTTCTATTGAACCTTTCTTCCCTCTTTCAGAGCATCTGCAAAGAAGCTCTTCATACCTTCTGCCATGGTGGGAGGTTTCCACAGCCTCCTCCTGCAGACACAGCTCCGGCCCAGCAGATATCAGATCAAATGACTTAATTGCATGCTGGACATCCGTGCACGTTCTCTCCGTGTGTGTGTGTGTGTGTGTGTGTGTGTGTGTGTGTGTGTGTGTGTGTGATCCTCCAGGAGAAAGAATGCGTCCTCCCTGCTTCCTGCTCTCTCCTTGCACAATATGCAGAACCCCATTGACCCTCCTACCTCTAGTAACCCCCACTGCACACACACACACACACACACACACACACACACACACACACACACACACGCACACACACCTTTTCGGTCAAGTCCACGTGATTTCCAATCGCAGATAAATCACACGTGTCCAATAAGATGAGGAGCCAAAACAATTGACAAAATGACCAATCAGGGCTTTGGACGATACAGCATTAGTATATCTGCCCCGCCCACTGCCACCCTCCACCACACACACACACACACACACACACCACACACCGCTAAAACTCCTTACTCCGTGTTTTGCAGCTACAGCTAAATTAAAGTTGATATTTTTTATAAATCTAATTCACAAGGACCTATGTGTAAAGTATGCCATATGTATGTCAATGTAAACGGATGTATCTAATATTGAAAGAAATACATATAATCCACCATTGTTTGCAAATGTTTCAAAATGAATTGGCTTCAATATTTGTAGTGAAATATGACCATTCTCACAATTTGATTCAGAGGATTTTAAAGGGAAAGAACAGCAACTAGAAATGAACAGTGTTATTTTTCAGGTTGTAGAGAGCCAGTTTGTTAAATGAGATTGTAAAAAGTAAGAAATAGCCTAATAATGGGAGCATTTGATGGTGCGATGGGAAATAAAATAACTCAGAGGAACCAACTGTTTGAAAAAGGAAGATTTTACAATACTGAAGCACTGAGAGTGGTATGAATCTCATATGAAGTTCATTTCGAGCACTTTGTTAAATCAGTTATATAAAGATAATTAGTATTAGCAGTATAGTCCAACCCCAGCAATGGCAAAGTCTCTGCTTTTTATATCACATCCTATTCATTTAATAATGATTACATACTAGGTCACCTGGTACTGTATGCCGTATATACATTTTGAGAATGATAAGGTAAGTATGCTATTATTAACACAATTTTAAGGGGGGGATGAAAAGGCCGTAATATGTAACATAGTAAGATATTTTCAGTAAATGATCTGCACAGTTAAAGGGGTTTTTAAAACTGACCAAATGGCATTAAAGTCATCCATAATTTACATCTTTAAGGTGAAAAGTTAGGGATGGCTTTTTGGTATCTAGTCAGTTTTAAAAATCCCTTTAACTGTGCAGATAATTTAGCGAAAATATCTTAATATATGACAAGTGTTTTTACCCGTTGAAAACCCTTTAAACCATGCAGATAATCCATTAAAACCCCTTAATCTGTTATCATCCTTTAATTAATCCATTAATTTATCAATTCATTTAATTCAAATGTGGGTGAACCTATTACATACCCCAATACTAGAGCTACTTAAAATATCATGTACATCTTAAAATTGAAAGTAAAATATTTCATAATAACGTTTAACTTAAAGGCTCATGTTAAAATTTGGTGGTTTAGTTTTCACCTTTTCAAATTAACGGACAGAATAAGAGCTGGCTCCCACACCAGAAACCTTGGAATTAAACCAGCATTTGCTATGTTTTCACTGCTACATGAAGGATTAATAACTTCAAGTTACTGTTGTTGTAGTGATTAAAATGTTCTTCCGCTTATCACAGTTTTCTGCCACTGTAAATAAAAAAGTAACAGACGTACCGTTGGTCACCGAGCTGTCATCTTAGAGGAGACACGGGTCCTGAACGGTGTCTGTATGAACAGTATGTGTGCATTAATGTGGACAGCCGTTGCTTTTATGTTGTCCATGATTATTACACAAACTAACAGGTGAAATTTAGACACCAGATGCTATCTCCCTCTTCCTTAATCTTACAGGATGAATCACATTTCTCGCATTGTCTCTGCTGAGATGATTCACATCCACCTGTTACAGTTTGTAAGAAAGACATACGGTGGCCTTTTGGAGCCATTCACTCCTGCTCATTAATAGGTAATTAGTTGCTTTCAAGCTGCTGTAACCTGTTCTCATCACTGCTGAGTCATGGAACTTCCTGCAATGACACACACACACACACACACACACACACACACACACAACACACACACACATATGCAGGCACTGTATATGTGCAGAGATAATGAGCAAAAGCCAGCAGTTTTTCTGTGCAGCTTAACGTCTCCACATTTTACGTGTGTGTGTGTGTGTGTGTGTGTGTGTGTGTGTGTGTGTGTGTGTGTGTGTGTGTGTGTGTGTGTGTGTGTGAGGTGTTGCCTGATGAAAACCAAATAACTACCTCCATTCATGCATTTAATAGTACAGCCAGAGGCCCTCTGAACATCACCATGGAAATGGAAAGGCCCACCGGCTGCTGCGCAACATAACAGGCCACCCCAAGGTGACTCCCCAGGTCACCCAGAGGGGCTTGTGGGAACAAAGCCTTGGCACGCGCTGGTTCAACAACCATCACTGCATCAACACACACACACACACACACACACATACAAACTATTATATCACTAAGAGAGTAAGTTCTTAAATGCTAGAATGTGTACAGTATCTATGTAGTGTGTGTGTGTAATGGTTTTAAACACACTTGGGGGGGGATTGACTGCCGGGGCCCTTTGTATTGCAGAGGGTGGAAATAAGCAGCGGCCCCATGGGAGGCCTGTCAGCTCACCTTTCACCTCTCCTCCAAAGGGAGATCAATCAATAAACCCAATCAATACCAAATCCATAATGCACTGCCATGTTGTGACAGCTATCCCTCCCACAACAAGCCTCTGAAGGCTGCTGCATGTGGGCCACCTCAGGGCCAAGCACGCAACAATGACGTGCTGAAGCCTTCTTTATCAAAGGAAGCTGGCGTTTAAAGGAATATGACAGGATCTTTGAGGATCCTTGTTTTTGTTGATGATTTGTGAGACAGAAAACTGATTTGTTTCCAATTCCAATATGGTGGATATTGTAGATTTCTAAAGCTACAGTGTGATTTTTATGTGCACAACGTCACATGAAGTAAACATAGAGGCCGCTAAATACAACATGTACGGTTTCATTTACAAGCTGATGTGCACTGGAAGCCAGTAAATCGATGAGCAGATAATAATGACGAGGAAGAGAGACAAATTTTGGTGTATGGATGCAGAGTAGAAGCAAACAGAACGGTTACAATTTGGACCCCAGATACTTCTGAGGTCTAAAACCAGTGGTGGAAAAAATAAAACGGGCACCAGTGCACAGAAAATTGTGATGCATTTTTGGTAAGCTTAGTCACAATTAGGCTTAGCACCCTAGAGGGCACTGTATCCTGTTTTATCCAGCATTCAAGAGGATACTTTTGCAGTGTTTTTTCAAACATGGGGGCACCAGGCCACCTCACTCTCCCTCCACTGACTACCTCCGTCACAGCTATCTTCCAGCTTTATAGTCACTGAGTCACGATACAGGGTGACATCAAAGTCACATGGATCCCAACATGTCTGTTAACACTGACAAAATAATCTGACCTGTATCTGACTTGGATCACATATGAAAGTGGCCCGAATCAGAACTGAAAAAGATCCATGTGATTTGTGCTGTTCACACTGTCATGAAGAAAAAAAAACATTTGAGTAATGAAAAGTTTAATTGTGGCCACTTTTGCCTGAAGAGTGAAAGTGTTGCTTTCTGTCCCATGATCTGTACCTGCTATCTACCACCAGATGGCGCCAATGTAAAAGTAGTGACTTTAAAGGATACGGCTGGTGTTATTCTACATTTTCCTTATTGTCAACAAATCCCACGAGAAGACGATGTTATAGTGCATCTCTCAATACTCCCTGACTTCCCTGCCCTATCACTGGCTTTAAAATTACTCAAACAGGAGGAAATAGTGCATTCATATGGGACTATTCTCAGTTGCATTAATCCACATTTGGTGCTCCAGTGATTATTTGGGGCAGCAGGACAGTGTATGTAGGATTGAGTATGTGTTGAAGGAACATGTCAACCAGGGCAAGTGTGATTTACTGATGTGTTTTTAATAGTTTTGGGACAACAATGGAGCTCTATGGCACAGAGGAAGAGGATATATCAGGCTGTGATACGCACTCAATGCATTGTTGTCTTAGTGTATATATGTGTGTGTGTGTGTGTGTGTGTGTGTGTGTGTGTGTGTGTGTGTGTTTTCTTAATAAGAAAAATATAGAATATTGCCAGCTTCCTGACAATAATTTAGCTTCTCTAACCACTGACCTCACCTGTTGCCTTATACAGTACTTACAAAGATTTATCCCTAACCCTAGTTTTCATGTTTTATTGTTTTACAACACTGATTTTATACCTTTTTATAGGCATTGCGAAGAAAAAAGACAATAGAATCCATTCTTGTTGTTTAATGTGATTTATATGGTTAACATATGCATCTGGTTACATTATATTCCCATGCATAAAAGGACATGAATGAAAGTTTGATGCTGCTGTTTTGCTGCCTGGTTAGAACGATACAATTAACTGTATCTGTGTATAGAACAAGGAAGAGGCAAACAACAGACGACTAACCTCTAATCTCATATGCAACATAAAACTGAAGTAATTGTTTTTGGAGCCAAGGAAGAACAATTTAAAGTAAGTGCTCAATTTAAGTTGGTAAAAACCACAAACCAAGGCAGAAATCGTCATATGATGATGGACTCGGACTTTAAATTGCCACATTTAGTTGAACACAAAGTCAGCCTATACTATTACCTGAAGACTATATTAAGAATTAAAGGACTTATGTCTTATTTAGAAAAACTTCTTCAGTCAACTCATGTCTTTACAGGTCTTTCTCAAAAGTTGATCAGACAGCTGCAGCTGGCTCAGAACGCTGCTGCTTATATCCTCAACAACACCAAAAAGTGGATCACATCTCTCCAGTCTGTCAAAGACTTGATTTAGAACATACTGAAGTTTATAAAGTGCATGTTTATAAAAAAATGTATGCTTTAGGGCCACAATTTAAATTTAATTTCTGATCTTCTGCTACGTTATAACAAACCAGATCTCTCAGGTCGTCTGGGAGCAGGTCCTCCTCTTTTCACAATATATTAGTTTTATAAATGTCCACTGTGTCTATAAGTGCTCTTAATGATGAAGACAGCTATAACTTATTAATCCTATATCTACCTATAGGATAAAGTGTGCTTAATTGGCAACTTAAACGTCCAAAGCAGCAAGAGTGATGGATGATGGGTGATTCAGTTGAATGTTTTGTCTTGGTTTTTTTCCTTTTTTTCTCACTTTATTATATTTTATATTTAGTTGCATTTTAAACATAGGCTTGTACTGGTCTATGTGAATGGCACGAAAAACAGTTGCTCACAAAAAAATGACCTTTGGATGTTACCGGTTGAAAACTGAATTTGAAAGTGAAAATTATCTGCTATTTTCAAGTGAAATTACTTCATGCAAAAACATCCATGTCAAAGCCAGATGGGGCCCCTCTCTCCTGTGTAATTTATTCCATTTCAAATATCAAGACACCATCTATGGGTGACATAAGGACATGCAGTCCATCCAGGGATGGTAATCTTCTATTAAAGACAGTTGGAAGATGAAAGGCAGCCTAAGGCTTGCAGGTAATAAATGCACTATTTTATCTTTCCCACTAGATGTCACCTCAAGCATTTATTCTCTGAGACAGCCCAGACTGTAATAGAAACAATAACAAAACAATGATATTATAGTGATTCATGCATAATCCAAAAGAAGATGTTTGCTGTGATCTTAGATGGTAGGTCACCACACAAACAGCACTTTCACATAAAACAAGCTACTATTCATTTATTGATGATGTTAATGGTTATGCAGAACAGAAAGTCACATTATGGATTCAGCTCTCACAGGAGCCATCTGAGCTGAAAAGGTTTGTGGTCATAATGTATTTTACACTAAAGCTAGAACATTTGCTCAAGGGCCCCTACTTCTGTTCCACTGAAATCTGTATTAACTGCATCTACATCATTAAATAAAGATTAGTTTAAATTGAACTGCCTTCTTTAACCATTAACTTTCACTAGCAGCTTTATAGTATAGAAGATGTGATAAAAAAAAAAAAAAAACACCCCAAAGCCATGCTGACTGTTGAGGATGATTCCTAATGTCAGAATTAAAGTTGGAGTAGGTCATTTTTAGAACAAATATTTTTGTCATATTTGCTGAAACTTTTACTATATCCTGACAGTAGAACATGAGACAGATAATGTGTGAAACAATCAGGTTCCTCTGGCTCCTCCTAGTACTCCTAATGGTATTTACAAGAATCCACTGAACAAAAACAACCAATCAGAGCTGAGAAAGATGGGTTATTGTTGAGTCTCATTCTAAAGGCATCAAATATAGATGGCTTGGGACCCTGGGAATGAGACTCAACAATCACAACAATCCACTATCTTTCTCCAACCCTCCAAACGAAAGCATCTTTATATATTTATCATCTCTGATTGGTTGTTTCTGCTTATGGACTCTTGCAAATGTCTTTTTATTAAAGCTACCTACTGCAGCTTTAAAGGTAAAATTGAGCTCCAGTTACTATTAATAGTGACTGTTGACACAATGGGCCTATTCTTTTGATAGTACATGTGTTTCTTTGTTAAACGACAGAAAGGTACATAATGTGTGTGCAGTTTTGTGTTGTGTGCAATCCCTATAATTAATTACCCTTATTATGAATTAATAAAAGAGCTTGGGTCTAAAAGAAGAAAATAGAGTCCTTCAGCTTACAGGAAATTTTTGCAGTTAACTCAAATTTACAGGAGCATCTGGAAGACTACAGACATTGCCTTTTCAACAAAAAAACAACAAGCCCGTATGAGGGGTGATGAGTGCCACAGTGAAGGGTAAGATTAAAAAAAAAGCTGCAGTCACAGGTTTTATTCACTGGCGAGTTGTAGACTCATGTCTTATTGACATAAAGCCATAGAGTCATAGAGATCCTAGTAAGAGTTTAATTCTGAAATGTTTTCACTGTGAAATTATTGGAGATGTAAAATAGGTGGAGCTGACAGTTGACCCTTCCTAAGTCCCACCTCTTTTTGCTCTGTGCTCCAACAACAGCTGAGCAAGCCTCAGTCAGAACGTCCATCAATTTTCTCCTTTCCTATACTTATATAGATATGCTATGTGCTAGGCTGGTTTATGTTGGCAAGACAACCACATTTTGAAGATGGTTGAAAGACAACAGTGACATATAGTCAAGTTTTAAGGTTTTTTTTAAGCCAATATAAGCAAAACGCTAGATACCAAATCGTGAAGCTTAAGATAAAAGTGACATATAGTCACATCTGAAAGGTCTAGAGAGTAGAATTTAGTGACATCTAGCAATGCTGATTGCATCCCCTTCGCCTCACTCTCCCATTCCAAGCATGTAGGAGAAACTACAGTGGCCACAAAACTCGCAAAAAAAAACCCAAAAATCATATATAGAACCAATGTTTAGTTTTTGTTGGTTCTATGCTACTGTTGATAGATAGATAGATAGATAGATAGATAGATAGATAGATAGATAGATAGATAGATAGATAGATAGATAGATAGATAGATAGATAGATAGATATTCCTCTATTTGTCCCACAATGGGGAAATTCCAAGATAGAAGCATAAAGGTCCATCCCTGCAGCCTCCATGGAAATAAAATAAAATGGTTCCAGAATGAGGTAACAGAAAGAAAACAATTCTTATGTTCAGGTGATTATACACTAATGAAAACATATCTATGAATACACTGGACTTTTAATTCTAATAAAATTACTACCAAATCTACACAACCATAGCCAGGGTTACTAAAAATACTAACTACTAGCTAACATCAATCATTATGTAGGGTAGTTATATCCGGTGGCGTAGTGGTCCTTGGAGAAGTGGGTATACTCTCAATTTTGCCCTTTTTTAACGCAGCCCAGAAAAACGCCCTGTTTTAGAAATAGTGCCACTATTATAAAATTAACATGACTTGATCAGGAGCAGTTTGTAGGTATAGATAGATAGATAGATAGATAGATAGATAGATAGATAGATAGATAGATAGATATTATATTATATATTATATTTATATTAGATACATAGGTATTACTGGTCACACAGGCAGCCTGCATGAATGTAAAATAAAGGCAAACATGGTGTTTCAGTTATTTTTTGAACATTTATTTAAATAAAATACTTGAAGTACCGGCATCTTTGGCTGTGGGCGAAGAGGCAGCATCTCCTTCACTGACAGCCTCCTCTCCGACGGGGGTGGGGGGCAGAGCGGGCGCCGACGTTGGTCTTAACTGTGCCGGTGTACCTTCGCTAACATTAGCTGAGCTGCTGGCTGATGTTGATTTGCGAGGACGTTGGAAATTGTCAAATGAAATTTTTGTTTGGATAGCTCGCTTCATCTTACCGGTTCATTACAAATCCTAAAAGCAAATCATTTAAAGTAAACTTGTAAAAGTGAATTTGTCTTTAGCAATATTTACCTCGGCATGACCCGCCCTTCTCTGCCTCCGATTGGCTCATTCGTCGTCATGCCTAAAGTTAACCGATCTAATCAGTAAAGGCAGCGAGTACTAACCAATTAGAAGCAGAGTAGCGTGGGTCATGGCTTCACCATCCTAGGGAAAAAATGGGCAATTTGGCTTGCAGATACTACTCTTCTTACTCTTCCATACAGCATGATGTTCATTTAGTGAATGATGTTCCCATTTAGAGTAAAATAGACCATAAAGCAGGGTATGCTTTAGGGCGTGGCTACCTTATGATTGACAGGTCATTCTCAGTGAGTCTGTCCAGCTCAACTCACCAAACTCAGATCAAACTGTCAAACTAGGCAGTGCTGATCAGATATGAATCCAGATTCTGTTCCTGCGTTTCCTATTTCTCAACTAAAAACCTTTCAGAAACATATTCTAGTGTTTATCTGGAATACGAGATCGTGTGTGACCAGGCGAGCCGCCATTGTTTCTGCTATGGACCAGTTCAAACTGTGCAGCCAATGAGAGCAGCTCAACTCACAGTACGTCACTTCAGCTGGCTCTGACAAACTGTCATGGTGACGACCATAATTCCAATCTTGAGGCTTCAAAACAGTACCCCACAAACCAATGGGGGACGTCAGGACAGGTTCATACTTACTACCTACGACAACCTATCACCACTTTTTTGCTGTTACTGTATTTTGCTGTTTCAGTATTTCCCTCTTTCCCATTTCTGACTGTCTCTTCACATGTAAGCGATCATCCCAACAGCTACACTCTCAAGCTCCGCCTCCTGCTCCTCTTGTGGCATGAATCACCCCTCATACATCCTACACACATCTTTAATCCCGCCTCCCTCCTGCTCGCACCACAGAAACAATTCTTCCATTCTCTCGTCTTGCACGAACAGTCATTAAAGCAGAGTTTATCTAATGTAGGCCTGCTTCATAGTGACTGAACAGAAACCGCTCTCCAGGAAACGGGTGTGATCTCTTGTCATAAGGATGGGATGACACAGGAAGAAATGAGAGGCTGACAGTGCGAGCAAACCACTGGATGGAATAAAAGGTAACCACACTCGCGTTATTATTAGAGCTTTGCAGAAGGCTCGGCTGTGACCGGACTGTGTTTCCTGTAGAGATATGAGGGAACTGTTGAGTGATTGCCACTTTTCTCTGGAAGATGACAGGATGGAGGGACGATAAAACCCGAGGTGGTCATCATGGCTGTGTGGAGGCGGTTTGCTGAAGCATTACGGTGCAGGATTCCCTCAGGTCGCGGTGATGGAAGTGAAATGTTTGGCGCTCCATTGTGTGCCACTGACTGACTGACTGAACGCATCTTTCCTTTCACCTGCGCAGAAAGACGATGAGTGCGTTCATGTGCTGCTGGCACTAACAGGAACCCGCGTTTAGTCCCCCCTCCTGCCCCCGCTGGTTCAGCACCGCGGACAGCGACCATGACTCGGCTCCGCAGGAAAGCTCTTGTGGCGCTCTTCCTCTTCACGCTCTTCATCTTCGGGGCCATGATGGGGCTCAGGACGCTGAAACCCAGCGACGGCTTCTCGGACCTGGCCCCCGGCATGGACTTCATCGGGGAGAGATCCGACAGGAGGCGGCTGGATGTGAAAAAAGACGTGGTGGTGTCTCCGGGCCAGTTCCACATGGGCAGCAGCGACACTAAGGTGGTCTTCACCAAATCAGACCGAGATTACAGCATCTTCTATGATGTTCACATCTTCTACTACCTGTGGTACGGCTCCCCCAGCATGGACAACAAGTACATTCACTGGGATCATGTACTGGTGCCGCACTGGGACCCCAAGATCGCAGCCAGCCATGCCCAAGGAAGGCACACACCTCCAGAAGATATCGCTTCAAGTTTTTACCCTGATCTGGGACCCTACAGTTCCAGGGACCCACAGGTGCTGGAGTCACACATGGCCCAGATAGAAGCGGCTGCAGCAGGTAATAGTTCTGGCTTTGCATGTTCCATTGTTGTGGTTTAGTGTTGACTCTCCTCCAGGGCCGTTGCCAGTCCTCCCAGGGCCCCCACCCCAGACCTAAAAAGTAAAGTCTGTACACATTATAAATCATTCATTACAAATAATCAATCTACAATTTCCAAAAATAAATTCCACATAAAAATCCTTAAAAAGTAATCTCCTCCTTCTACCTCATTAAAACTTCCAGAATCTCTGAATATACAAATGTTGTTCATTTCTAAAGTTTTCCTGCTGGACACAAGATGTCTCCTCCTTCACTGTGAAGTCCATTCTCAGTGGATGTGCACTGGTGGCTTCAAGTTTCTACATCACACTGTACAAGTTGCATACTGGAACAGGACTGACTTCCAAAATTATAATTCTTCTCATAATTATCTTTGGAAAAAAGAGTGAGTTTCGGAAAATACAATTTTCAGGTGACTTTCAGGATTTTAATTCATAAGTGTTTGAAATATTAATAAGGACCACTGACAGAAGGTCATCATTTACTTTTTAACACTGCATCCAAGCTGACATTTCCTGCATGTACCTCAATCATCCAACAAAAGACCCTTCTCACCTCTAACATCATTCATCACATTCAACCTTCCTGCCTGACTGCACTCAGACCAGACTTCCTCTCCGTGCTGTGCTGTTGCAGGGGTGCTGGTGCTGTCCTGGTATCCTCCCGGGGTGGCAGACGACCACGGGGAGCCCACCGAGGACCTGGTTCCTGCTGTCATGGACGCAGCCCACAGGCACAGCATCAAGGTAACTGGTGAGACAACCGGTATGTTTTTCCTTTCTGATGATTTACTGAATGAATGACTTGCTAGTGACAGTTAAATGTTGAAGCTGAGAACAATCTCTTATCTTGTATTCCCAGCTTTGCTTTCACACTGCATTTCAAAATGTTCCTGTTGGATTTATTTGGATTTATATAGTGTGAAAAACAGGAAGCTGCATTTCAGTTCTGACCAAGCTCACTTGGTAGAGCATGGACCAAGTCCTGCAGCAGCCCAGGGTTCGAATCCAACCTGTGGCCCTTTGCTGTGTGTCATCCCCTCTCTCTACCCCCCTTTCCTGTCTATCTCCAGCTGTCACTGTCAAATAAAGGCAATAAAAGGCCAACATAATAACAAAAAATTAATTAATTAATCAAAAAAATCATTATTGAACAGCCATGTTTCTACTGTAGCCCAGAATGGACAAACTAAACACTGGCTCTAGATAGGGCCTTTGACATTTCTCACACGTTTCATGACCACTGTAGTTTCTCCTACATGCTAGGAAGGAGAGGGTGAGCCAAGGGGGTTATAATCTGCATCTACACTGCCTAAGGCCACTAAATCATACACACTGGTCCTTTAAAAGATATAATTTTCCCATTCATTGACTTCTGTTTCATCACCGTCTGCCAACCATGTGTGCTTTGTGGAGCAGTTTATACTCCAGCAGAGCAAGGTTAAGTAAAAGTTAATGGTGCAATACAGCTAATATGAGATGACTCTGCTTTGTCTCTGGCTCTTTGTTCTCTCCAAAGTCAGACATGTGTTACTGGTCAGCAGTGTATATTTTTAGTAGTATTTTTAGAGTATTAGTATTGACAATTTGACTAACATTTTGCTCTTAAATGCTTGTCGTGCCTTTTATTCAAAATGCGGCATGTCTTACAGCTGCATTGCATTCTGGTCCACTGAGGCTCCTGACAGTTTAGAAATTGGTACCTACCTTCCCACTGGGTCCCTGTGGGATCGTCATTTTCAACCCCTTTGACCTCAAAACTGAGCAATATGAGATGAAAATGTTCTGCTTTCAAATGCCTTTCTGGCTTTTTTTTTAAGAATTTGTGCTTTGGGGTAGATTTTCTATTTCAATGCAACTGTCCATCGAACAAAATCATATGTACTTTAGCACTCAGATAGCACAAAGACATACGATGCTGAAAGTGCTTGAGACAGCACTGGCAAAACAAGCTGAGCACAGACTGTAGATTCAGCATTAAGAGGACAGAAGAGCTTCCCTCAGTCTACTTTCGTGCTCCTTATATGGAAGTCTTAGACTGAGAACTGGGTCTCTCTGTGTGTCTCAGTCAGACTTACACAACAGTGTGTATCTCACAGCTGACCTGAGGGCTAATGCTCCAGTGTTTCAGTGCACCAGCGCTGCCACTGACAAAATACAGGCTGAAGTCTGTGTTTGTGAGCAGTCATGTGTTGAGTGTGTGTGTGTGTGTGTGTGTGTGTGTGTGTGTGTGTGTGTGTGTGTGTGTGTGCGTGCGTGTGTGCATTTCCTCAGCAAATGTCATATATGTGTGCCTTGCATGTCATTTGATAGAGTGCTTTTGCCACAGGATGAAGCAGGCCACTGGTGTCACAGATATCAGTGGGGACCATCACATATGACAGACAGGAGGGCGCATGCTGATCTATAATCCCCCTCCAGTGCTCCGTCCTCACTAATTAAGCATAGATTGACCCTGTTTGCTCAGTGAAATGTCACACAAGAAGAGAGAAATGAAAGCTTCAGTAGAGCAGAAAAGTATCATGTTCTAATGACAAATTCTCTCACTGTGACAACAAATCTCACACTATAACAAGGAAGGGTTCTTATTTTAATACTAAAGGTATTATTTTAATAACAGTTGTGTCAGAACATAGATGAGATCTGAATATTTAAATGGACTGATAAAGCCTTTCTTACTTGTATAGTCATCAACACACAATTACATATGCTCTTGCTTATATAGAATCCATTGTTTTGGTTTTCTGGGCCGCGACTTTACTGTTTTGGTTCAGTCTCACTGCGCTCAGCAGGCGGCTGTTTTAAGCAAAAACTTTTGATAATCTATTACACTACTTGCCCAGCACTAAATGGCATTAGGTTAGCTATCTAACTAACTGGTGAACATAGTGGAGCAGCTAATGAGCTGGAGTGGAGACCAAAACACTGCTAAAAGATTGAGTATTGGACTTCATCAGGTGGCCTCAAACTTGACTGCAGATGAACGATAATGTTTCTCTTTGTAAGAGTTTGTAGAGTTTTGTATGCTAACATGTTAGTGCGTGAAACGTGGCCAAAGAAATGGAGTAATGCAGCTTTAAAGGTCCAGTGTGTAACCTTTAGGAGGATCTACTGGCAGAAATATAATATAGATAGATATGTTTTCATTAGTGTATAATCACCTGAAAATATGAATTATTGTGTTTTTGTTACCTTAGAATGAGCTGTTTTTATCTACAGAGGGAGTGGGTCTTCTACAGAGCAAACACTGGCTCTAGTTTTTCAAGTTCCTCCTACACACTTGGAAGGGAAGGGTGAGGCAAGGGGTTTTCACTTGGTTGCAATCTGCAAATTCACCACTAGATGCCATTAACTCCTACACACTGGTGCTTTAAAGAGTAATTAAACACAAAAACGTTTTTGAGCTTTAACACATTCATACATTGAGGAGTACAATTCTATCAATAGAGCAGATAAATGCTGTTCTTTAGGAATTAAACATCCTCCCCTGGTTTGAAAATATAAATTCATAATCCATTTAGAGATGCCACTATCCGTCATATCAAACTTAATTACCAGTTTCTGACTCCACACACCTAGTACAATCTTAAAACCAACTTGCGCCACTCCTCCTGACACCCCCACTGTGGTTGATCTTTAGTGTGTGGGAGGCTGACAGGCAGATAACTCTTTAAAGATGTAGCTGTAATTACAAATTATGATGACAAAATTGTCCCATTGTGATAACACACACTTTCTAGTTATAATGAGAAAATGTTCCCATCTTTTTTTTCCTTATTTCTTTACACTGTCCAGAGAAAAGCTGATTAGACACTGTGCGGTGTTGTTCCTGTGGGTCTCTGATATAAATCATCATGGGTTAAATGAAAGGTAAATATGGATGAGTTAACCACTGTTTGTTCTGGGTACACCTTCTGCCATTTTGAGACCTCAAGAAGCAAAGTTGCCTTGCAGAACTTTTCTCTCATTATGCTAATTGCATCTGCACTTGAATTTATCACCTCATTTTACATAATTAGCTGAATGAACATAGCATATGCCAACATGGTGATATAACATTGCTTCAGTCAGTGTTCGTCCTCATATGAAGAGTAGCCAAACACTGGTAAATGTTGTTCAGGGGGGCTTGTTTGTTGCGGCAGTGCCTATACACCTGAGGCTCAGAATGTAAATATGCGTCACACAGAACGAGAGGATCTGAGCAAACAAAGCACTTTTCATCCGCATCCATCCGCGGTTTATTGAGCCAAACAGGAACAGATTGAGCAGCGTCTTACCTCGCTGGCCTTTCATGATTTCCAACCAGTCGAGACGGCTGACAAGCCCGAGCCCGGGCGCCAAACACTGCCACGTTACCATGGAAACTGTTTAGGAAGACCTTGCAGCCTCTTTTGAAAGATGGAGTGGGCGTCGAGCGCTCAGTGTTTGTGGCTCGACAGCTCTGTCAATGCTTTACTGTTTGCCGCTTAGCTGCAGTAGACCTTTTCTCCCTTTGTGACTGAAGCAAACAAGCGTACCATAGTTTTTCCTGGATGACAGCGGACATCCATCACTCTCCTGTCGGAGAACATAACACAATGTTCTCTGTGAAATAGCTCATAGTTGTTTCGGTGACTGACATGTTTTAATTTAGTTCCTCCTATAAAAAAATCTACAGCTGCATATGAAAAAAGTTTTAATTAATACACAGAAGTAGCTTAAAAGGATTTCGGAGACACTTGGGTCAGTGAAATAGATGTCATCCTGTGTCACCTGAGTGTGTTCACAGATGAGATGACAATACAGGACAAGCCTGTGGGGATGGTGAGCATCTGCTTCACTTGTTCTCTCCTCCTCCTCCTCCTCCTCCTCCTCCTCCTCCTCCTCCTCCTCCTCCTCCCGCTCAGCTCCATTTTCAAGAAATCCTCAGCATCCTGTGGGCTAAACTTGGGTTCTGTCTGCTATTGTCTCCTTCTGTCTTTACACCAGAGGAAAAGGACACTTGTTTTTTTCTTTGATGACTGATGGCTCTTGGACCAAGGTGCCTCTACAATGGGAGATTATTTCTATACCACATTTCAGGCAAACACACCAAATTCCAGGTTTTAAAATAATAGCCTACTTGCAAAATGTTCTGACTTTTTGCCAACTTAAAGGGACCGTGTGGGGTTTTTGACCACTAGAGGTGCTGTACAGGAGTGTTTATTTGCATCTCATGTTACCAGCTGTCGCATGAGGATACCAATGCAAGCATGGGGATCACATGGTCCTTAGAAGAACATTCTTGGAAAATGTGTTGTTTATTTTGTCGTGTCCAAATGTAAACCCACCATGACATCACCCACTTGTTTGTGGACAACTGTTTTGAAGCCTTGAATTTGGCATCATGGCTGTTGCCATCTTGGTTTTTTGGAGCCAGAAGTGATCACAATATTTGGATGATGGAGAGTGTGGAGCTGTCAGGTGACGTACTGCGAGTTGTTCTGCTTTTTTTTTGTTTTGGCTCTGTTCTCAAGCAGGAAAAAATGGCGGCCTCCCTGGTCACAAATGTTGTTGTATTACAGACAAACAGTACACTAAAATGTGTTTCTGTAAAGATTTGAGGCGAGAAATTGGCAACACAGTAATAGAATCTTGAATCATGTTTGAATAGTTAGTTCAAATATAGATGCCACTAAATTATACACACTGGTCCTTTAAATAGTGAAACAGATATCATCACAGGAAAATTTGGTTATAGCGACAGCAAAAAGCAATATTTAATAAAATGTATACAATACACTCACATCTAGAATAGAATAAGAAGCTTTAGAAACTATGTATCATTTCCAAATATTAAAAGAAAGGCTATTTTGTATTTTGTCAAATGATGAACAAACGATCAGGAATATGTGAGTATATATATAAGTTAGATGTCAGACTGCCAAAGCAGACAGGAGAGCATGGAGGCGAAGACAATCCATTAATTTATGATGAGGTCTTTGGGACCAAAATGTTGCATTTATAATCATGGGAACGCTGTGGATCATTTTTCTATCATATTATCCTGAGCTGAAGTGAAGGAATAAGAGTGTAACAGCATCATAGCTGTCAAAAACTATTCAAATGCAGCTGTAATGGTGATTACGTATTTATTGTAGTAAGCTATCCCTCCTTTTCTTAAAAGCTCTGTTTTAAGAGTGGATCTGGAAGGACTGGAACTGCAAAATGATTCTACTCACATCAATGAGCTGATTGGCAGGCTGTTGGCAGGTTTTGATCCTCTGTAGTTAAACTGCATAGGTTACCATGGCGATCTAGTTAAAAGTGAACCAGACTAATTAAGCCCAAAGATATCTGGCTAAACCCACTAATCTCATGTTGTACAGGCTCCAGGTCTCAACCGTGCAAACATGTTATAAATACACATCATTTATGGCTTACTAACAATAGAGCAGCTGCATAGAAACATTGCAAAGACAGCTCTCTTTCTTCTAGTTCCTACAGTGTGCTGTTTGAATGCTGTATGTGCAGAGTTTGATACTAGAAGTATATTTTTACATTCATCTGAAAGTGAAAAGTTTCTCTGTGCTCATTGAACATCTGATTGTAAGGGGCGTGATTTGTGACATCACAAATAGTTTTGATGTCAAGCCTTGTCCAGTATGCAGGATTTTAATGTGTACATTTTTTTTGCAGAAAAAAAAATATCTGGACACACATTATTCTTCCAAGCAGACTATTTGTATATACGTATGTCTTAATACATATCTGTAGGGGATCTTCAGTGTTTTCCTCTGATTGACTTGCTGGGATTAGTTCTTAAAATGAACATGATGTTGTCACATTGTTGAGCAGTTTGATATTCGATTCACGCAAAAACATGCAACCACTGAGGAGCATGTACCTCCAGAGTAGGCACCAAATGCCACTTCAATCCACACCGTGTCGCACAGACAGTGCGGCCAAATAATTAGCGAGGTCCACAGACTACTAATGAAGTGTTGCGTTCATACTGGCTGTCCATCAAAACAAATAATACACTGAATGAACAACTGAGTGTTCAGTTTAACCCCTTATTTTTCAGGTTTTTGTGTATTTAAGTTGTGCTTTTGTAATCACTTTGTCATGTTCAAATGTGTTTTGCACAGGTGGCCTTTCACATACAGCCATACAAAGGACGGACGGACCAGAGCATGCATGACAACATCAAATACATTATTGACAAGTAAGTTGTTTTTCTATTCGTCCTCCCTCCTCTGTGCTGGATTTGTTTCCTTTGCTAGACCAAAGGGTCGAGCTCCGCTCTCCATATCAGTGGCTGCTGACGTTAGAAGTCTAGCGATCTGTGGAATGTGAAGTCTGATAAGGGAAGATGAGGAAGCTGGTTGTTAAATATAGATGTCTCGCTGTGATCCTGCTGTAATGAATCAGCAAGTAGCTTGTTCTCTGAGCTCAGTCTAAATGTGTGTCAAAGGGCACCTGACTCTTTGCCTACCTCATAAAATGTAATAATATTCAGCCATAACTCAAGCAACATATAAAATATGTCAGCTTTAATAGGGAGACTCTGGGAAAGGCTGTGAGGCTAATCAGACTATGTTTCATCTAATAAGATATTCAGTGGTAGTCTGATAAAAAATAAAAATAAACCCCATGATCTCACCCTGTGCCTAGGAACAAGAGTTTCAGTGATGCCATGTTTCTAATGATACAAGACTGGAGTAAAATCAAAGCCCAGGCTTGAGTGCCTTGAGCTGAATCGGATTTCTGGACTTTATATTGCTGCCAATGTTTTCAGAAACCCACTGTGCTGACCATCTGTATAAAATGAAACAAACATTGGAGAGACAGAAAAAGAAGATGTCGATTTGAGTAAAACATAAATATTTTCTGAATGTCTGACACTAACTCAACCTGTGAAATCTGAGCTGCAGTAAAGGTGCTATATGTGGCAGTCACAATCAAACAAACAAGACTGACAACAAGATTTGTAGCCTAAGCTTCTAGCCTGGCTCACACACTGTCTCAGGGTTATACTAATGTAGGTGGCAATTCAACTTTACGTTGAGGCTTTCCGTCACTAGCTTGTAGCTCGCTAGCTTAACTTGTTGTGATGCAGCCTTTTTATGCAGTTAATACCTCCTTTTAGCAAGACTCCCACAGACCTTAAAGTTGCAATAATCAATATTTTTAAATCAACAATGATTTGAATGATCATGCTCATAGTGGCAAACCCACAATTATCACCTGACTCTGCACGGAGGTACTCCGCGTGACACAATATTTTATCAGCTTTAAGCTGATTGGTTTGGTTTTATTGCCCACAAATGTACTGTTATGGTTCAGTCCCACCATGCTCATTAACCTTGTCAAACAGGCAGCTGTTTTAAGAAAACCCCCTGTACATTATCTGCATAGCACCAAACAGTATAGACAAAGTTTGCTGGAACATTTAGCAAATAAAAAGCCAGGTATTTTGTCCAGGAGTAGAAGACCAAAGCAGAGCTAGAAAGATGTCACCAGAGACACATTTCATATATGTATATTCAACACAATCTGACAGTGTCACATATTGTCCATCTATTCCTGAATTGATAACCATGTTTCTACTTCTATCTGAAAATAGGGAAGTATATCCTGAGATGTGATAAACTAGCTAATTATTTGTTTTTAGATATCTATACTAAGGTGTACACATGGCTCAGGGAAAGAAAATTTCTGTTTCCTGCTTACTAAGTTATTTGGTCTCTCCCCTAATAACATGAAAGCTCCTATGTGTAGGATTTAGAACATTTCAAATTCAATTTTGAAGTACTAAATATAGTACCTTTAAAAATGCTTTTTGATGCTGTAACAGCTTGAAATTCTCAGCTTTATTCCATCTCTTCTATTTTTCTCAGGTATGGAAAGCATGGCGCCTTCTACAGATTCAGGTCCAGCACAGGACGAGTCCTGCCTCTGTTTTACGTCTATGACTCCTACCTAACGCCACCAGAGTCTTGGGCAGAGCTTCTGACAACTAAAGGCTCTCACAGCATCAGAGGCACACCTTATGATGGCATCTTTGTCGCCCTCATTGTTGAGGAGCGCCACAAACATGACATCCAAGCGAGCGGCTTTGATGGCATGTACACTTACTTTGCCTCCAATGGCTTCTCCTTTGGCTCATCCCACCAGAACTGGAAAGCCATTAAGACCTTCTGCGATGCAAACAATTTGCTTTTTATTCCCAGCGTCGGTCCAGGGTATGTGGACACAGCGGTTCGCCCATGGAACAACCACAACACCAGGAACCGAGTTAATGGACGTTACTACGAGACATCCTTGCAAGCAGCTTTGTCTGTCAGACCAGAAATTGTTACCATTACTTCCTTTAACCAATGGCACGAAGGCACGCAGATAGAGAAGGCAGTACCCAAGAAAACTGTGACGCGTTTGTACCTAGACTACCAACCCAACCAGCCGGAGCACTACTTAGAGCTTACACGCCAGTGGGCTGAGAACTTTAACAAGGAGAAGGACAAGTGGCTGATGTGAAAATTCCCTGGAAGATGCCCTGAGCATGACCAGAAATGACAGTCAGTCAGCTCTATTAAAAGACGATAGAGTTGTTCTAAACCAATACCAGTATTGAAAATTCCTCTGATACTGCCTAAAATGCAGTTTTGGGTACAAGTATGTGTGTCTGTGCACTGATCCGATACCACGTAATTTATTAGCCCCAAACAGTTCCCTGTTACTTCCAGCAGTGTCCGTTCATCGTATTTTTCCCAGGATAGCAAAGTCATGACCCTCCCTACTCTCATTCTGACTCTGACAAAGGGTTTGACCTGAGTCAAGTCATACAACAATGATAGCACTTATACAGACTTCTAGTATGATACTACTACTAGTATATGCTTGTTAAAAATCTTAATGCACATGTTTTTGATTGATACTCGGTATCTGCTGATACACAAAGTTCAGGTATCAGAATCGTGAAGGACAAAATGGTATCGGAACATCTCAAAAATACAATATTTGTTTGTCCACCTACCTGTTTTCCTCCAAGCATTCTGATGATATTTTCCCTAAATGTTTAACTCTACCCTTACTGTTTTTAATCACTAACATTTTTTGTACAGGTAAATAACGTCACTGATATGTTGAAGCTACAAGGTCACAGTGATGGACAGCTAATCATCGTTCCCTGACAACAACTCTGTTCAGTATCTGTTTGTGACATCAAGAAAGCGCAGCTCTGTGCAGTAACTCTGCTCTGTAGGGTTTTTTTTCTTATTTTCTTATGATGAAAGACTGTTCTTTCCTGTAATTCTTTGAAGACAAAGTAAAATGTGTGTCTGTTTACTGTTGGTGAATCGGTGGTGTCACTGCACAAGAAAACTAACTTCCCAAGAAAGGTTATATGATCAAAGAGGGTGGTGGGGTGGTAGGAATGTGATACTTCAGTCAGTGCCTTCAGACAGAGTCTTGTTTCAAAGCTGCATTTGTTTATAGATGGTGAAACGTCAGTCAGACAATCAGTGTGTGAATACAGAATATGAAGGATGAGTCAGAGGCAGAAGCTGCTGAGAGCTGCTCCAGCTGGTCTAAATTATGGGTGCGTTGAAATTTCAAATCACAGTGGGTTAGGTTCTGTTTTTGTATCTGGTTCATTTTAGTTCACACTGTGCAATTGTAAGCCATTCAGGACTTAAAAACAAAAGTAACACACACTCTCAAGTACTTTATTGAACAGAGTTTTGATAGTTAACCGAAGAATTCGGGAAGCAGAGAAAAAGCATCCCTCTGGCTCAAAGGATCACTCTGGTTCATTACAACCTGGCTCTTGTTTTCATAGTTTTGGCCATCATTGCTATTGGTTATGGTAACATTGAGCTCACCAAAGCTGAGATCTGGGAACACAGTGACATCGCTACAACGAAGTCCAACAGGGCAACATGTTGTAAACAATCTGATGAAATGGGGATCAAGCGTGAGCGGATGGAAAGAGGGCCAAATGGAGACTGATGATGGGTCAGGTGGTGTCACAGCAAGGAATCCAGGGACTGTGACTCAGTTAGGGGCATGTCTAATGTGCTTCCTGTAACTGAACTGAGACAAAGGGGTTAGACCAGTGGTACTCAACGTAAGGCCTAATAGGGTGTCTGGTGGCCGGCCAACTATTTCCTAATTCACAATGAAAATAAACTGACACATGGAACTTTTGTTTGTTCATACCAATTAGTAAATGTTCAGTAACATCCCTTAGGTCACCTCTTGGCAAAGATGAGTATGGAAAGCAAATGTCAAATGGTTGGCAATGAAAACAGAAAATTCAATGAAAAATAGATAAATTTGCCTTTACTTTGTCACCTCAAACCAGTCCTTAACCACTGTGTTTAATTCGCCATGCTCTATACAAGGTTGCTAATGTCCTGCGACATCACGAGTCTTTCCCACCTGGTAGCACCACAAGGAAAGATTAAGACTTTAAAGGCCTCATTATTATTCATTATAATAGGACAAATATCATATATATTTATATATAGTATATGTTACTGTATATTGGTTGGCACAGGAAATTGATTTAGAGCAAGGCTCCATTCCTCTATACGATATAATACATTTGTAGTGGGTTTTTTTGTGATAAAATTTGTATTTTATTTTAAACAAAAAATACATATAGGTATATACTTTACAAAAATAGTGCATAAAATATATATTCACATACATACCTATACATATGCATATATACAGACACATATGATTAAACAACTAAGATAAAATAATAAAAATAAAAATAAATAAACCCCAGATATAACCCACCCACCCCCTGGATCCAGAACTCCAAATCTCAGTTACATATTACACCTGAAACCCACGGAGGATAGATAAAAGTGAATGCCAAGCCTCTATTGCTGACTCTTTTGCTCCGTGGACTCTAGCTGTCGACAACTCTAAATAAACAATATCCAAATATGTTAAAACCCAAGCTCGAAAAGAGAGTGAATGTGGAGGTTTCCAACGTGTGGCAACTAGCTTTTTGCAGCCGTAAGTCCAGCCAACAATTCTCTTCTCTTATCCAGTGTCAAACCCAGCCTTGATAAATCATTCAAAATGAGTGTAGCAGGCGAACAGGGCAATCTAATCTTAAACAACCTAGAGAGGTTAAAGGAAACCATCTTCCAAAATTCGGCCACTGGGGTACACTCCCAAAACATGTGAAAAGAACTGCCAATCACTTTGGAGGAACAGAAAGTACACGTAGGATCATTAATAACCTTCATCAAATGAAGATTCCTAGGAGTTAAATATACCCTGTGTATATGATTATAATGTATTTGCTGATGATCAGGGTTTCTGGATGCTAAGCCCACACTGATCCACACTTTAGCCCAGTCAAATGTAGGTTCCAAATCTGGAACATCTCTCCTCCACACTGTGTCCGGAGGTCTGTAAGCGCGCCGCAGTAAGAATCAGTAGAGTCTTGATACAAAACCCCTTGTACTCCCAGCAGAGTGAAACAATTTATGAAGTGGATGTGGTGTGAGAGGGCCCTGTAAAGGGGCACCATTGCTTTTTAAAGTCGATCTCAGCTGCAAATAAAAGAAAAAGGAGGTACGTAGTATACCATGCTTAATACATATGTTCTGAAAAGTAAGTAACCCCCCCTCCCCATAAATATCACCGAGTGTGCAAATGTTTTTTTTTTCCCTATCAGGAAATCGAATAGGACGATTGCCCATCAACAATCTCTCATTGGGTCCCAAACAGAAGAGCAACCAGCCAATTTCTCCACCCTCCTCCATATCAATAGCAAATATGAAATCATAGGACCAAATCTCAAACGGCAGTGATTGGGTGAGATTTTAGAATGCAGAATGTTAGTAAAAGAGTATGGAGCTATTATCTGCTCCTCCAAAGCTCACCAAGACACTTGAGCATCAGATTGAAACCAAGATAGGAGAGGTCTAAGTGTGAAGGCCCACTAATAGAACTTGAAGTTTGGGAGAGACAGGCCACTGGCTTGCCTTTCTCGCTGCATAGTGGTGAGCTTAATGCAAGATTGTTTGCCACACCACAGAAATTTTGTTATTGCTGACTGTAATTAGCTCTAATATTGAGGGGGCGGGGGAAGGGGGAGCATCGAGCTAACAAAATTGACTCTGGGAAGAAGATTAATTTTAATTATGGCTACCCTGACACGAAGTGAATTTGGCATGTTAGACCACCTGTCCAGATCCGCCACAACCTTGCTAAGTGTGTTGCAAAAATTGTTTTTAATCATTGTCTGTATGGAGGAAGAGATATCTATCCCAAGATAAGTGAAGTTTTTAGTGACTGAAATAGATGCAGGGATGGGAGCATTACACATGGCCTGATTTAAAGGTAGCAAAGCTGATATCTACCAATTTATTTTTAAACCAGAAAGCTTGCCGTAATGTTCAAAGGTTGACAAAACATGTGGGATACATTGCACTGGGTTGTTTATATACAATAAAACATCATCAGCATACAGTGAGACGTGATGGTGTGTTCCTCTAATGGAAATTGGAGAGATTGTGGGTGAGCCGCGGATGGCTTGTGCCAGTGGTTCAAGAGAAAGGGCGAGTAACAGAGGGCTAAGAGGGCAGCCTTGTCTTGATCCTCTCAAGACAACAAAGGGAGAAGAGCTAGTTTTGCCTGTAAGCACTACAGCTTTTGGGTTATTATACAGCACCTTAATCATATTAATGAACGGCAAGCCGAACCCCATGAACTCTAACAATGGCCACTCCAGGCGGTCAAAGGCCTTTATTGCATCTAGTGAAAGGACAGCAGCAGGGGAACTTAAGCCTTGAGCACCATCTATAACGTGTAATAGTCTTCTAACATTATCTGTAGCAAGTCTAGACTTTATAAACCCTGTCTGGTCACTATGAACCAATTCTGTCATATGGCCTTGAAGCCACCAGCCAACATCCCTTAAAAATGATCCCACTCTGATTGAATATTGGATCATGTCCAATAACAGCGGGCCGATCAGGGGCCAAAAGGTGAGGTAAAATTCAGGTGGAATTCTGTCCCTGGTGATCTACCTCCCTAACAGCCGCCTCACACTCCTGCAATGTGACATGGCCATCTAGCTTTATGGGGTCATCATTACTAAGGCGGGATAGTTTAACGTAATTTAAGAAATTATTGCAGACATGTTTGTCAAAATTACTTTCCGAATTATATAACTCCTGATAAAAGGAGGCAAAAGAGGCATTTACTTTTTTTGGGTCACATTGTATAGTGCCGTCTTTGTCTTTAATGCAAAAAATATCAGCAAAGTGCTCATCCATCTGAAGTTTCATTGCTAGTAGATGACTGGGTTTTGAGGAGTTAAAATGGTAAGTTTGTCTTGTTTTGTGCATGAGGAATTCTAAACGGCGCCTCAGAAGAGAGTTAATCTCTTTTTTAATCAGTTCCTTCTGTAGGGCTGTGTAGTCGTCAAAATTATGTTGCACGGAAGCATCAACAATCGAATATTTTAATTCTAATGCTTCCAATTTGGCTGCACGTTCCTTGTTTCGTGTTGAAGCATATAAAGTGGTGTTACTCCTTATAAAGCCTTTCACCGCCTCCCAAAGTATCCTCGGATCGGAAACAGAGCCGACATTAAATTCCAAAAATTCACAAAAAACGTTTTCAAACTGTCCATGCCGCTGTCCCACACTGCATTGAAATCTGCCCCTAGAACTAAATGAAACCCTGCGAGATCAAGCAAGAATTTAGTTAGTAGTTGTAAAAAGTGCCATCAAATGCATTAGGGGCTCAAGCTGAAATAAGTGTAATGTTTTTCCCATCCATGCAAATCTTGGCAATGGCTATCCGACCTGCATCATCCAAGAGTCAATCACATCAAGTTTTAGTTTGCATTTACACAATACCATTACCCCTTTACATTTTGTAGCTGCAGATGAAGTTGCAATAGGGTGATAAAACTTACTGGCTAATCGACCCACATCTTTGCACCATAAATGTGATTCCTGAATCATAGCAAAATCTATATTTTTCTTACGGAGAAATTCTAGTACAGTGGTTCTTTTGTGTGGATTGTTAAGACCCCTGGCGTTGACTGAAATGAGATTGAGAGCTGTCATATGCTAGAAAAAATAATGAAATAAAAAAATGGAGTTGTCCCCACAACAGTAAGAGAGAAGTCTGGATCCATAAAAGAAAAACACCCCAAATCAAGAGAAGACAAAAAACATCAAAAACACCAAAAAGGACAAAGGAAGGTGAGGAAGCAGAGTACTGTCAAACTTTCCTGATAAATCCACAACTGGATAACTAACTCAAGGAACTAAGAGTTTCTGGCCACCCAAGTGTGGCAGCGG